GGCGCCGGAAGGGCAAGGCGCATGGGGACGACCTCTGGGCTGACAGCAGGCTTTGGAACGACCTCCGGGCCCTGTGGTAAACAGGAAGCCTTCTTCCTTCTCTGTTTCCTTGAGCAAGGCGGCGATGCAGCCTCTTTGGCCAACACTGGGGGCGCTGCAGCCTCTTCGGCCAACACTGGGGGCGGAGCAGCCTCTTCGGCCAACACTGGGGGCGGAGCAGCCTCTTCGGCCAACACTGGGGGCGGAGCAGCCTCTTCGGCCAACACTGGGGGCGGAGCAGCCTCTTCGGCCAACACTGGGGGCGGAGCAGCCTCTTCGGCCAACACTGGGGGCGGAGCAGCCTCTTCGGCCAACACTGGGGGCGCTGCAGCCTCTTCGGCCAACACTGGGGGCGCTGCAGACTCTTCGGCCAACACTGGGGGCGCTGCAGCCTCTTCGGCCAACACTGGGGGCGCTGCAGCCTCTTCGGCCAACACTGGGGGCTCGACAGTGAAAGTGGACGGCTCTGGGAGCACCAGACATGTTAAGACAGAGGAAGCCTTCCTTCTCTTCCTCCGCTTACGTCTGCAAGGCGATGGTGTGGAGATTGCTGCCTCTGGGGGAAATGCAGCATTCACGGCCGCCTCTGGGGGAAATGCAGCATTCACGGCCGCCTCTGGGGGAAATGCAGCATTCACGGCCGCCTCTGGGGGAAATGCAGCATTCACGGCCGCCTCTGGGGGAAATGCAGCATTCACGGCCGCCTCTGGGGGAAATGCAGCATTCACGGCCGCCTCTGGGGGAAATGCAGCATTCACGGCCGCCTCTGGGGGAAATGCAGCATTCACGGCCGCCTCTGGGGGAAATGCAGCATTCACGGCCGCCTCTGGGGGAAATGCAGCATTCACGGCCGCCTCTGGGGGAAATGCAGCATTCACGGCCGCCTCTGGGGGAAATGCAGCATTCACGGCCGCCTCTGGGGGAAATGCAGCATTCACGGCCGCCTCTGGGGGAAATGCAGCATTCACGGCCGCCTCTGGGGGAAATGCAGCATTCACGGCCGCCTCTGGGGGAAATGCAGCATTCACGGCCGCCTCTGGGGGAAATGCAGCATTCACGGCCGCCTCTGGGGGAAATGCAGCATTCACGGCCGCCTCTGGGGGAAATGCAGCATTCACGGCCGCCTCTGGGGGAAATGCAGCATTCACGGCCGCCTCTGGGGGAAATGCAGCATTCACGGCCGCCTCTGGGGGAAATGCAGCATTCACGGCCGCCTCTGGGGGAAATGCAGCATTCACGGCCGCCTCTGGGGGAAATGCAGCATTCACGGCCGCCTCTGGGGGAAATGCAGCATTCACGGCCGCCTCTGGGGGAAATGCAGCATTCACGGCCGCCTCTGGGGGAAATGCAGCATTCACGGCCGCCTCTGGGGGAAATGCAGCATTCACGGCCGCCTCTGGGGGAAATGCAGCATTCACGGGCGCCTCAGGATAGGTGGCAGAAGAGGTGGACCCGTTCTTCCTCCTCCCTCTCTCCGAAGGGGTCATCGGAGGACTGGGGACCTGGCAGTTTGTGAGGTAAATGGGAGGTGGGCCAAGAGGCGGAAGACCACCCTCTTCCCCACGGTTGTATACAAACCCCACAAACTGCCAGAAAGACAGTATCCCCAACATTTCCATCTCCCAGGCGCTGACAGGCTCGTTCAGGCCGCTGTTAAAAATGTCTTTAAGCGCAGAGTTGTTAAGGTCGAGCCCCTCCGCAGTGATGATGAACTGGTGGGCAAACTCTTTTACTGTGGAGCCCCCTTGGCGAAGAGAAAAGAGCTTGCCATAGCGTTCCATCATCTGACGAGTGGAGGGGCAAGGGCTGGGAGATGGAAACAAGAAGATGCCCATTCTCTGCTGAGTCCTCTGATGGCTGTTTCGTTCTGTCAGGTGTGGTGGAGGTGAAAGGAGCGAGGACTCAGGTGCAGAGATAATGGGTACTTTAATGATAATAACAAAACAAAAATACAAACAAAACTACCCCGTAGGGGAAAACAAATGACTTGACTGACTTGACTTGACACAAGGAGTAACACACCAGGTACATACGACAACGAAACAGCACAGGACTGCAAACGCAGGGAGAATAAATAGGGAGACCAAACAACGGAGGTAACGAGGGAGGACAGGTGGGGCAAATGAATCAATCAGGTAATGAGGGAGGACAGGTGGGGCAAACAAATCAATAATCAGGTAACAAGATGGGAGGGGCTAGACAATCAACAGGAGAGCACATGGCACAAGGAAACATACATGACAAGCCATGTGCTCACACCAAACGTGACTTGAACACAAGCACATGGCCAGTAAAACCAATCACCAGCCATGTGCTCACACAAAACGAGACATGAACACGCAGCTAATGAAAACACTCATAAGCCACGTGTTCACACAAAACATGACAACATGAAAGCACACAGCTAGTGTAAAACACAAGCTGTGTGCTACACAGCACATGAAACAAGGCACAGACAAGATAAAACAGGTGTGTCAGGGCTCTGTCACAAAACCAAGAGATAGACTAGACAGAAGTGACAGAACCCTGACAAATATCAGCTTACAAGGGAAACGGAGGCGGAGTTAGTGGTGCGATCGGAGGCTGCTACTGCTGGAGATGATTCGGGAGAGGTCTGTCCCCCTTTACCGGTCAGAGCGCGCGCTGACACGGAGTAAAGCCTTGTTTAACTCGACTCGTCCGCACGAGCGCGAAGGTGCGCGGGGCAAAAATGACGCGTTCGGTGCGCAAGACCGGCAAGACCCCATTTCGCTTGCCTGTGTGCACAGGTTTTTTTGTAACAGCGCGCGCGGCGCAGCATCCGAGGATGAACGACTTCAAGCCGAATCTGCCCGAGCCGTACGTCTCACAGCACCGGCACCCAGTTTGCGCGTCTAAATTGCAAAGTTTTTTTTTTTTATTAAGGTTTTGTTTACGGTGTGTGACTTATTTATTGGAAAGCACATTCACTTCCAGTTGTCTTGCTGTTAATTTTAAATAAACGTAGTACGTAGAGCAAGTAGCTAATCAGTGTCAGAAAGTTGTTCTATAACAGACGAACCAACGTCGCTCTGCATATGTCATTTTCTTCATCGCTCTGATTGGTTTTAGGTCTATCCAATTGCGCCCAGATGCATTTGAGCTACGTCCGTTGGTGACGCCCCTTTGGAAATGATTTGTCTATGAAGCTTTGCCAGACCCTAACTCAGTTACAACTGAGAATGGTCTGGTTTTAACCAGGCTATGGGTGGGTGTGACTCGGCATGCAAATCTCACTGGCCAATGTCCATTGGCTCGTTTTATTACCACTTGGAGGTGATTGGGCTCCCAGGCGAGACCCCATGACGTCAGTCCGACGTAACGTCTCCGTTCCCTCCTTTCACCCAATTTATACTGTGAAAAATGTATTTCTATCAAATCATTACGGTTTTTTTAATACTCACTTCTGAAATAGTAGAGTACCATGGACCCTATAACACTAGCTTGCTCCCCTGATTCAAAGGTGCAGTGAGCGATTTCCGGTAAACGTTGTTGATATTTGAAATCACCAAAAAAACACGCCCCTAACCAAAAGGATCACACCCCTATCTTGATGCCTCTGCTCCCACATTCATGTATACACTATGCAACACAGGAAACGACTATGGCGGAATCTGCTGTGCCTGCCACTTGAGGGTAAGATGTCATCAATATGTGAAAGCAATTTGTCTTACTATTATAATTTAGGTCGAATGTCTAATTGTTATTTAGCTCCTCTAATCCGATAGCAAAATTACCCCTTCCATCCCAAAAAACAAACACCTTTTACATGAACAGCTCCCTACATAACACGATAGTCCAAGTAATTTATATTACAAATATGACAAGATTAAAGGGTTAGTTCACACAAAAATGAGAATAATCCCATAATTTACTCACCCTCAAGCCATCATATGTGTATGACTTTCTTCTTTTAGCCAAACACTTTCACTTTCATATTAAAAAATATCCTGGCTCTTTCAAGCTTTATAATGGGAGTGAATAGTAACTTCACTATAGAATAGTACGATTTTGAAGCCCGAACAAGCGCATCCATCCATCATAAAAGTAATCCATACGGCCTAACGGTTAATTAAGGCCTTCTGAAGCGAAGCGATGCATTTTTGTTCGAAAAATATATTCTAACTTTATAAACTATAAACACTGGCTTCCAGTAATGGCAATACGCTATTCTAGTTCAGGCGGAAGAGTGACCTGTTCTGCCCTGACGTATCTCTCTCTATGGCTAGTCGGACCTAGTGAACAAATACGCTTACTTCAATGAACAAGACTCGAAACAGCACTGAGGGGATGAGTCGTTCGTTCATGTAAGAAATTCTCGTTCATAATATGGAAAGAAAGAGACGTGATGGGAATGTGTGAAAATGTTGAAAAGTCAATATTGCAACTCTTAAATTAGTGGTTTTTAAAATGACTAAAAGACTGTGTATTTATTAAGTATATGTCAATTATTCATTCAGAACACAAAGAAGACCTTTTCGGCATGTTTTTCTAATGTCAATAAAATATATATTTTTTACATTAAACAAAAATAATAATAATACAAAAAGTTTATCAGATGTTTGTAGACAACAAAAGCAGATGAAAAGCTATTTAACAGACGTACGGGCTATCTGACTTCTTGGCCACTGATGAAGTAGCCTTCTTTTGAACGTATTTCTTGCAAAGTACACAGTATGGAAGAATGCAAGGATCCATCCACACCACACTTGGTTGCAACAGCAAACAGAAATGTAGGCACGTTTAGTGAACAGATTCAAATGAGTCGACTCACTGAGATGAATCAAAATCCCCACCACTGCTCCTTTTGTCAGAAAGGAGGCGGGTAAATAATCCTAGCAGAAATCTGATATATTCGAATTTCACCAACGCCTCACCAATCGTTATTCTCGGTTGGAGTTCGTTGACTCCGCCTCCTTCAAGACCACGCCCCCATCAGAGGATCCTCCTGCTGATGTTGTTTTCCTATGTTAGCCAATTAGCAACCTAGCATGCAATTTGAGGTCTGGCGCCTTGACTGAATGGTGCTTACGTGTATTTTAATTTACCTTTCAAATCCGAACCTTATACGAATCAACGTTTGAGAGCGCTGTTACCGAGCTTTATAGGTTTTGATTTCTCGGCGGAGCAGAAAGAAGTCATCCGGAGTGTCTGTTGCGGGGTGAGTTGGCTCTTGCGTGCTAGCGGACGCTCGCTAGCTGTCGTCGCCGCAGTGCTCCATTCAGGCTAAAAGTAGCTAACTCTAGTTAATGACCCTTAAAGCGATTTCCTCAACAAATGCCACTGAATCACCCGGGTGATGCGAAATTTAAAGATAGCGAAATTCAAAGATAGCGACAAGTGAAGCATGTCATAGCAGTGATTATATAAGAGTATTTGTCGAGGCTCTAGCTAGCCGCACTTAGCTTGAATGGCTACATAAGGTTTTTAAGCTCTGCTGGATTGATCAGTTGCTCAACATGAGGGTCTAGCTATCATTCTCTGCCTTTGACCTGTTAGCGATCAGTACCGGCTTATTGGCGTCTTCTGCTTAACGTTACCGGCTAACGGTGCTGCATTGATCATTGAACAGTTGTGTGTTTACCGGTAGAAATCGTTCAGTAGGACTTCCTGATTTGTAGCTAGAAACAGTTCACAACATCGAGTGCTAACCAGGCTGCCGTATCACATTTTCTCGGTGTTTGAAGATTTATTAGATGTTTTTTGCTGGGTTCAGTCGACGCGGTAGTCATCGGATCGTGTTTTTATTTTGGTGTGATCAGATTGTGTTGGACTGAACTCTGCATCGGACAGAGGCGGTTACCGCTCAACGCCTCTTAGAGGTTCAAGAAGCTTTATCGGCTTCGTAAAACGCGTTTTAAGAGCCAGAACATTAGTAAACATGCACATGGACTAAATTAAATACACAATACGTGTTTTCGATCAAGTTGTACTGTGCATTTCAGTGTGTTGTAGAGTGCGTGGGTCATATAGTCAGGCCTGACACACTCGGACGACAAGAAACTGTACGGTTGGATGAAACTGAGTTTCAGCCATTCAAATAAAAGTGAGACAACACACGTGCCCCAGCATGTTTGCCTCACAGTGTAACTGTTTACACACCACTATCCGCCTACACAGGTTTATAGAAAACTGTAACATTGTTTAAAGTCTCATGTGGTAATGGCGAAAGGTCAGACTCATAATGCCGTGCTATCTGTTAGCCGATCTGTGTAAGCAACGACAAATGATGGACAGTTTATAACCAGGTCGAACAAACATCTAGGGTCATTATTTGGCAGTGGAGGACATTTGACAGGTGTCGAAAAAAATCATAAAGTGGATCTCCTCTCAGAAGGCTGCTGACACGTTGAGTTTTTCAAGACAATGTGGGATTTAAACACTTTCGGGTTATTATGCATAATACAATAATTCAGCCAAACCTGTCATAAACTAATCTGTAGACCAGAAATGTCAACAACAAAAAATCGACACTCCTTTAGTAATGAGGCATGAATAAGCCAATCTTGTGACTTGTTCATCTAAAATAATGTGTATAGCCATTATTTTTGTAACGTTACTCATGTTGGCACATTTTAGAATATTAGTAAAGTTATTGAAACTATGAAATGGGACACATGGAAGTCTGGAAATTATGTAGTGGCCAAAAATATTGCACAAATTAAAACTACACTATAGTCTTCATGGTGACACTTTGGGCTTTTCTCACCAACTTCATAAAGTGCCACCTGGGATGTTTGCTGAACACTTTGGCTCATTCACCTGCACTATCCAGTCCAATTCATCTATTAAAATAATGCATTTTAGTTTTGTAATGTATTTGTCTAGAAAACTGATTTGTGTGGCCTGTTGCATGAAGCTAGCTAAACAAACTCTGAGTTTCAGAGTAGGTTTAGAGTTGACAAAACTATACAAATCCATGCATAGTTGTTTAGATCCGGTTCACTAGGCTCACAACACTCGATATAAACTTTGTCAACTTTGACTCACTTTGATTCACTTCTCGCGAGAGAGCCGGCACAATTCACTTCTCTCCTGAAGATTAAGAAATTATGAAAAATATCATGAATGTAAATAAAATTTTTTAAGGCAGGAATAAACTGCTGCTGCAGTAAACGTTTGAGAAGGCAGCGCTAAAAGAAAATGTCTATATCAATGCAAGTGAATCAACTGAATTTAAATAATCATTTATATTGGTTCACAAAGTGTTTAAAGGAAAATACGTAAGCTTAGTCATTTTAAAAGCTTTATATAATAAAACTTGTATGTATATATTTATATTAATTTAAATGGAAAGTTTAATATTTGACATTTTAATATACATATAATATAAATATATTAAATAATTAGCAGCAAAAGACTGGCAATTTTGTCTCAAATTATTTTGCTATTATCTGATTTAATTTGGGGGTTCAGAGGGAGTGGCTTTATTGCTACACATATATGTCTTTGCCCACAGCTGATTGGTTCAGTTTTGTTTTGGGATCTCTAATCCAGACTAAAACCTGCTCCGGAGGAGGTTAGCCATGAAGTGTAAGTTACTATGGCGATGAACACTGCTAAAAACAAATCCAACTTCTCGAGCCCAAAATAACAAGAGTTTGCTCAAACTAATCTCAAACTTACTTGACTAGCAAATGAAACCGGCTTCGTGCAACAGGCCTCTGGTTTCTTTAGATCATATGTTCTTTAAAGGAATAGTTCACATTCATTCAGTAATTTACTCTCATGTTGTTCCAAACTAGTTCACTTTTGGGTGAACTATCAGGTTAATATCAAAATATACATGAATTGTGCCAAATGTTTGACTAGTGCATGTACAACTTTCTTATGAATATTTGCTGTTTTGTTGTTGTAGATTCCGCCGCAGTGAGGAGCATGAGTACACAATGAAGCGGCGTTTGGAGGATCAGGATACAGTGATCGGCTCTCAGCGGCGGCTCCCAGGGGGTGTGGACAGCTTTCAGCACCGCGTCCTCAACTCTGCCTCCCAGTCCTCCCTCTACGAGACTGCACCGGATAACATGCAGCCGTCGTCCAGCATGCAGTACTCTGTCTCACAGACCTATCAGGTACTAAAAGTGAACAACACATTTACATCATTTCGGTGCGGATGTCCATACATATATATATATATTTTTTTTTTTTATGTATTAAATATAATTTATAAATACGAAATCTAAATATAATCTGTAAACATCAGGAAACATGTATGTGTGTGTTATATATATATATATATATATATATATACACTACCGTTCAAAAGTTTGGGGTCGGTACGATTTTAAATACTTTTAAAAGAATTCTCTTCTGCTAACCATTCTGCGCTTATTTGATTAAAAATACAACAAAAATCAGTTATAGTATTAAATATTATTCCAGTGTAAATCAGCTGTTTTCTGTGTGAATATATAGTAAAGTGTAATTTATTCCTGTGATCAAAGCTGAATTTTCAGCATCACCAGTGTCAGTGTCTTCAGTGTCAAATGATCCTTCACAAATCAGTATAATATGAGGATTTGATGCTCAAGAAACATTTATTATTATTATCAATGTTGAAACAGTTGTTGGTCTGTCAGTTGTACAGTTTTTTTTTCTTTTTCTTTTAGGATTCTTTGATGAATAGGAAGTTCAAAAGAACAGCATTTGTTTGAAATAGAATCTTTTGTAACATTATAAATGTCTTTACTGTCCTTGATAAATAAAAGTATTGATTTCTTTCCTCCAAAAAATAAAAATAAAATTCTCACTGACCCCAAACTTTTGAACGGTAGTGTATATATATATATATATATATATATATATATATATATATATATATATATATATTTACTGTGTATATAGTACCGGTCTTATCAAACCTGCATTTATTTGATAAAAATACAGAAAAAAAAACAATAATATTTTGAAACATTTACAATTAAAAATAATGGTTCATCATGCAGCATCATTACTCCATTCTTCAGTGTCACATGATCCTTCAGAAATAATTATAATATGCTTATTTGATACTCAGTTATTATCAAAGTTGGAAACAGTTGTGCTGCTTAATATTATTTTGCAGACTGTGATACATTCTTCAGGATTCATTGATTAATTAAAAGTTAAAAAGAACTGCATTTATTCAAAATAGAAATATTTTCTAACAACATAAATCTTTACTATCACATCCTTGCTGAATAAAAGTATTCCTTTAAAATTTTTACATTTTTGATGTACTTTTTTGAACGGTAGTGTATATTGTTACAAAATATTTCTATTTTAAATAAATGCTGTTCTTTTTTTTACTTCATCAAAGATTTCTGAAAAATGTTTCACAGGTTATAAAAAAATATTAAGCAGAACAATTGTTTCTAACGTTGATAAATAAATCAGCATATTAAAATGGTTTCTGGAGGATCATGTGACACTAAAGACTGGAGTAATGGCTGACAAAAATTCAGCTTTGTTTTTATAATTATATTTTAAAGTATATTCAAATACAAAACCATTAATTTTTAAATTGTAATAATATTTCACAACATTTCTGTATTTTCGATCAAATAATTGCAGGTTTGGTGAGCATAAGAGACTTCTTTCAAAAACATTAAAAATAGTAATGTTTCCAAACTTTTTACTGGTATTGTGTGTGTGTGTGTATATTATATATATTTTTGCATGGTTTTGCAAATTTAAATTTAGATAGTTATTTCTTTAAACTTGTTTTCTGTATTTATAGTTACACTGACTCTACTATTTAAATATTGAATTGGCTAGAAATTGCTGTTTGTGAGTGCAACTTCTATAAATTAAATAAAAATAATGAATCCATTAATTGTGATTGACTGGAAAAATACATGGAAATTCATTGATCAAAAGGTGCAGAAGATGACAAATTATGACAGATTAAGCACTGTGTGCATTTCATTTATTTAAAGCCCTTTCTGGGCTACCCGGTATATACAAATATACAAATGAGAATTCATTGCATAGTTTCAAAAGTGAAAGGACATTTTACTTCACATAAGCAGCCATGATAATGAACCATTTCTCCTTCTGCTCTAACAGTTGTCAATGGCCCAGAGTTCTGGGGGACATGGTCACACCAGCAGTTCAGCTGTGCACAGTGGGCCTCATCACCATGGGCCAGCTGTCCAGCCTGTGGGCCAGGGGCACTCTCATGCTACCCCAGCCCCTGCCCCAACACTGGGCCAACAGCAGTTTCAGCGGCTTAAGGTAAGAGATCTGTCTAGTAGAGTATGGAAATTATCTGCATTAGTTTAGATGGAGAGCTAAGATTTATGTGATTTCAGGTTGAAGATGCTCTTTCCTATCTCGATCAAGTTAAACTTCAGTTTGGCAATCAGCCGCAGGTCTACAATGACTTCCTGGATATCATGAAGGAGTTCAAGTCTCAAAGGTCAGCGTGAGTTTTGTTTTTGTTGAATTTTTTTCTCCTCTTGGGGCTTGTTGTGTTTCTGTCCTTTCTAGTTCAGGCTAGCTTCACACCGTGGCACGGATGGGTTGATCTAGTTGTGCAGAGTGCCCTGGGGACTTTATTTTCGGTCTGGGTTGCTGAGAGAAACCCTTAACCTGTCTTTGTACTTCCTTGTGCTCTGACCCCTCTTTTCTTTGTCAGTGACAGAGGAGTTATTTGCACCAGTAAGCCAAGCATTGAAGAGAGTTTTTTGATTAGTTTGTATGTCATTGTATTGTATGTTATTTTCTTCTGAAGTTTGCACATTTTCATCTAAAATTCACATTCAAATTACTGATTAATTATTTTTATGTTTCCATATGTTCTGTTCGTAGATTTTAGGGGTGTAACAGATCGTTGTTAATCCATGATCCGTACGGACCAGACCCCACGGTTCAGAACGCATGTGGCCCGCGGATTAATTGCAAACTTTAACCATCATACAGTGAAAGTTTATTATTTGCACGTGTTTCTAAGTCTTGTGATTTTAAACCATTCAAGCGCAACATGACGAGGTTTTTGTGCGTGAACACTCAAAAACGTGCACACAGAGAGCCCCATTTCAGATAGCGCAAAGACAGAATTAGGGCTGCACGATTAATCGAATTTTAATCACGATCACGATTTTGGCTTCCCACGATCAAATTCGCGTGATCGAGCGATATTTTAAATGCGTCATTCAGTTCACAGAAAGCTTTTTTTTTGCCAATCTAGCGCACCGTAAACCAGTGTCTGATCACGTGCCTCCATGAGCCCAGGTGCGCGAGAGAGACCTACGGTCTGCGTGCGAGCGACAGTGCACGAGAGAGACCGCGAGTGTGTCTGCGTGCGAGCAACAGCGCGCGCCTACCGATTGTGTCGCGCGCGAGAGAGACTGAGTGACAGTGCGCGTGAGAGACCGAGTGTGAGCATTATTAAATTGCATTAGTAAATTGGTACATACTACATATATATATTTACTATTTATACCATGGTCTGGGTGAATACTCGATTCTGATTGGCTGCAGGGTGTCCGTTAAAAAGTGATAGAGGACACCTAAAGTAGTTCTGGTGAAACTGCCTGTTTACCATTCGAAATTAATAAATAAATGCGCTGACTACAACAGCTGTGTGAGTAACCATAGCAACAGGCAGTCAACGTTAGTTAGATATTACATAGCCTACTACAATGAGCGACTTCGTTCGTTATTTCATCTTCAGTCTCTCACGGACTGACGGAGCCCAGTAAGCCCGCAGACTGCTCTCGCATCGATGGCCTGTCACCGACTTTATTTGACGGCTCTCCAGTCCAGCATCGGAGAGTCGACCTACAGCGGTGCTTCGGAGGCTGTGGTTAGTGTAGACTAGTGTAACACAAAGTGTTTTATGTGCAATAAAAAAATAACTATGCCTACCTTTGTGTTTCATGAAAAAAAAAATGCATTTTTGAACCTGAAGGGTTCTACAAGCTGAGCGGACTATAAATATCTCAAGTTGCTAAATAAATCGTCAGGCAAGTTATTATTTGAAAAAACTAGATTTAGCCTAATTAAAATATAAACTAATGTTTTAAAAATGTTTTATTTGACAAGTGACCATGGTATAAGCGGGTTAATGCCCTTCGAGGTGACCGTTGTCAGGTTTTAATGGACTTCGGCGGAGGCAACCGTCCTCCGCTGCGCGTCGGCCGGTTTACACCTCGCCGTCGTCCATTAAAACCTGACAACGGACACCTCGTCGGGCATTAACCCTTACATAAGAGGCATGGAAGTTCGATTAATGGACTCCAATAATCAGTCCTACAAACGTCTTGTTTTGACCTATTGTTTAACAAATAGAAATAATTTGAGCACATAAACTTTCACATGGAGAATTAAATAGATTAAATTTATGCAGTAAGACTTCACAACTAATCACTGACACTGTAGGCCTACCACAACATTTTACATTTATTAAGCGTCAAATAGCAATGACTCTGAATTTCATCCATTAATCGAACTTCCATAGTGCAGTTCTGCCTTGAAATGTTCTCATTTGGTTACATTCTGTTATGGAATATTTGTTTTTTTATTGATTGTATATTTTGCGTGTTTTATTCACATCCATTATGCAGGTACAATGCAAGTTTATATTTTGCTTCCTAAAATAGATTTACACAATGTAAAATGTAAAATAGTGCCCTGTTGAAGTTTTGCTACATTTTCTTTATTGTTTTCTTTATTCTTTAAGGAGATGCACTGAATTTTGGTGAATAAGAGGACCTATTTTATTTAGATACACATACATTAGCAGAAATGTAGCACAATATGGATGTGAAAGCAGTTATAATTAGCCTATGTGGCAATAAAATTTGTTTTGGTTAAAATCAACAAATAATCGTGATAATTAATCGTGATCGCAATATTGATCAAAATAATCGTGATTATCATTTTGGCCCAAATCGTGCACAGCCCTAGACAGAATTGAGTTCTTTCACGTCTCCTTGTGCTTGACAGACAAATTCACACAAACTTATCTCGAAATACTTGTCTTGGAAAGTATTCTCGTAAACACAGTCAGTTATGTCTTAAGTGAAGTTAAAGGTCCCATGACATGAAATTTTCACTTTCTGAGGTTTAACATTAATATGAGTTCCCCTAGCCTGTATATGGTCCCCTAGTGGCTAGAAATTTTAATCGCTGTAAACCGAGCTTTGCCTATCTTTCTCTGCCTTTGAGAAAATGAAAGCTCAGACAGGCTGATCTTGAATCTCCTCCGTATGACGTCATAAGGAGGAAAGGTAACCTCCCCTTTCTCTGCTTTGACCGCCCAGAGAATTTGGCTCGCCCATGAGAAAATAAGCTAGGAAGTACGAATGCGCGAGCGCGATTTGAGTTTTTCCTCGAGAGATATCATGGCTTGCAAACGAGCGAAGCATGGCAGTTGATCAGTGTTCGGATGTACAAATGAACACAAAGGTATTTTTTAGTCCCTTCATCCGAGCCTCTGAAGAAACAATGGGTTAATTTTATTTTCTCTAGAAATGCGCCGACACAACATCCCAAAGTTTTGTATCAGGGTTCCCGCGGAGTCTTAAAAAGTCTAAAAAAGACTTAAATTCAGAAAGTGAAATTTAAGGCCTCAAAAAGTCTAAAAAACACAAGTTTAGGTCTTAAATTTAATTTACCTAAGTCTTAAAATTCTTACCTCCGTTCATTTTGTTAATTGTGGTCAAGCGTTGTCCGCCGAAAATAAAACGTTGGTTGTTTTGTTTGTTTTCTAGTAGGCTACGTGATGATGATAATCCCATTGCGTGATCACTGCAGGTATAACTCCTGTAATAGGTGGCGTTATGTAACCCGCGCCGCCAATAAAGTGAAGGAAGTTGATTCACTAGCTACCTGCCCGCCGAATTCGTGCAACGTTAAGTCAGGGCTGTCGTCGAGCGCGTAGTTTTCAAAGATCATTGGGAAGTGTGTGTTTAACAAGATTTGGTATAGCGGACTTCATCAAGAGAGATCTAATTAACACCATTAGCGGACCGTATGTCTTGATGTTCGTTGTTTACTCATTAAACTGCAAGAAAGAGATGATAATTTGGTGGATGATTTAAAAATATTCGTTAATCAATAATCATCTGTAAATTGTGTAGTCATTTGAATGTAATCATAACGGTCGCCTGAGGGCGCTCAACGACCACGTCATCCGTAAGCGTGAGTTTCTAACGAAAAAACAACAGTTTACTAAAAAGAATAAATACATTAAATAATTTACCATTGTTAATTTGTGTTTATTTTTGTTTGTTGTTTTTGTATTTAACCCTTTCACACGTAAGTTTAAAATATTCTAACTGATCCCCAGCGTGAGTTTTTCTAGGCGACCGTTATTTAGAACCTGTCACTTTAATGTTTCCATGGTGACGCGTCATTGCTTGTCACGTGACACAGCGCAACCACAACACAGTGCTGAATGAATGATGATCTGCTTTGATGTCATTTTCCCTTTTCTATTCAAAATATTCACAAATGTATTAGCTATAACATGAAACACTGATATTCCGATTGTCAAATATGTGCAAGTGGATGTGTTTTGTTGTTTAAACACCTTCATAACGATCGCGTTAGTTGAGCTGTTTGTGCGATGGGCGGCGCCATGTTAGTTTACAACACGTCAATTCCTCAACTTCTCACGAAATACATGAAAGTGGCCGGAGAACTGGGAGAAGAATAGTGTAAAATGTAAAGCTACTTACACAATGTGTATCTGATATGAATAAAACGTGTCGTCTTATTATAATGGAAAGGATTATTATTGCCGCTTCCATAGACATCAGTCAGTGTGTGTATTTTACAAACTTAAAATATGTTTAAGAATTTCTGGGATCATTCTAATGTTTCAATTTATGTGTCGTGTTGGTCTTAAACTTCACACATAATGGTCTTAAAAGGTCTTAAAAAGGTCTTAAATGTAACAAACTGAAACCTGCAAGAACCCTGTGTATGGTCCAAACATTTCACCGACGACTGTTTCCTCAACTTGGGCCAATACAGAGCTGGCCTCGACGAACGTCTGAAAATAAATCGATTGAGCTACCAAGCAACAATTTCTGATGTGTAGCCTAAAGGTGATGATACACAGGGCAACTTTTTGAGCAATGTTGCTGGGCAATGTTGCCGTCAACGGGCAACCAGATGAGACACAGGGCCCACGACTGACCTAAATTATCCAGATAGAAATGTATTGCCCATTTTCAATGGGAAAGTACCCAAGCAACAATTGCTTGGCAACATTGCTCAAAAAGTTGCCCTGTGTATCATCACCTTTAGGCTACACATCAGAAATTGTTGCTTGGTAGCTCGATCGATTTATTTTCAGACGTTCATCGAGGCCAGCTCTGTATTGGCCCAAGTTGAGGAAACAGTTGCAATGAGAAGATCTTCGTTCTCGCGATCAACAGACTGTCATCTGCTTGCTCAATGCTCATCACGGCAACATTTTATGTGATGGGAATAGATCTAAATACTTAAAAAACTTCTCACGATTCGTTAATCTCGATAGCTGTAATAGTAAAAACGTATAATAGCTGTAGTAAAAGGATTCGAGAGAGTTTCACATGTAATACGTAGCTATTTCATATGCAAGCATGCAGTGCCGTCGCAGGTGGGGTGCGAGGCCCTGTGCGAACTTGAAATGCGAGGCCCCTCCCAGGCTCTGAACGTTAGAATAATTGGCTGCGTAGCGTACTTGTCAGCCTTGTCCGCTTAAATGAATTATAAATAAACATAAAAAACTAGTAGGCTATTTGCAGTATATTAAATCGTTTTTGACCTAATTATTTGGTACTGAAATTACACACACTGTCGGCTCTGATGGCGTTGCATCACGTGCACCTGCGCAATAAAGCCTATGATTTCTGTAAATAGTACTATGTCAACTAGTGATATCAGCACAAGAACTGTAGAGGAATATGCAACATAATTTAGACAGTTGTTTTTGTCATAATGTTATAATAACTGACAGACACTATCATTTCAGCCGTTCTGTGCATGTTCTTGCACAGAGCGAGGCTAAAGCTCAGTTTCGCGGCTGAGACACGAATATATTTTTCAAATGTTTAAAAGGTATTACATTGAAATCTGTTGAATAGAGTGTAAATTTAGTTCGTGGGTAGATTAAATAATAAGCGGATAGGCTAATCACCCGTATGGAGATCATTAACTTAATTTTTTTTTACTGGCTCAAAACAAATACAGCACAATTACGCAATACCGTCGTTGCGTGCGGGTGCGCCTTCAGTTATAAACATGATTATTACTAATTGGCATATTTCAATGCCAATTCTTATATGTTCGTTCATATAGCCTACTCAAAACAGACGGGGCAACCTAACGCAGACAAGTTAGCTCACCGTTTTTAGGTGATATGCCATGTTTGTAGTAGAGCTGTGATATGCAAACTGTTGCTTGCAAACTTTGCATTTGACTTCTTTTCCGTTATCTATTTTCGTAAAATGCTGCCACACTGTCGATGTCTTTGACATGGTAAAGAAGGACTGACAGTAAATTAAACGCTCGCAATTAAATTAATATTCAGCAAACCTCCATACCAATGCCGTCTAGTACTTTCTTCAATCTGTCTCCAGTGGGTTGGGCTAATCCAAAAAAGTGAAAACAAGGGGGGTGTTCTGAAGACAGGCTGTTACCTGTGGGTGCTCTGAAAACACCCCCATTAGCAATTAGTGCTTTCCACCTGATGAAATTAACACGTCAAAAACTAAAAAAATCCAGAACGTATCGACCAATAAATCGACTGGGAGATTACAGCCCTATGAAAAAAAAACCCTTAATTTGTTGGGGGGAGAAAAAAAAAAACAGCAGGATTGCGAGGCCCGCTAGTGGTGCGAGGCCCTGTGCGGTTGCACAGTTCGCACAGCCCTTGCGACGGCTCTGCAAGCATGTCAGCCAATCACAGCAGTGGCCGGTTACACTGCATCCCACAGCAGACACGCCCCTTCAAACAGTACGTTCAAATCAGAGGCTAAAATCAGGCTAGGAAAAATGCCTTTTATTTCTGAATGATGACTATTTTTGATCTAAAAAACATACTAACATTATAAGGGCAACCCAGGAAACATTATAAAATAATAAAATAACCCCATGTCATGGGACCGTAACGTAAACAGAAAGAAATTGGATGTGTTGTTATTTTGGATCCGTGCATTAGATCTTAAAGTGACAGCCGCCTAATAAACCTCCTGCTGTCTGTGTCATTAATGTTAATAAAAAGAGACAGCTTTAACAAGGATGAAATGTAATTGTTCTTATTTTACTACTTATTGTTCACTTGTCTTTAATAATGTTTGAAATGTATTAATTTGGCTGTGGTATCGAAGTACTTGAAGTGTTCTTTAAGTAATAAATAAAGTTAAAGCAAAGTTATATTTATCCCCCCCCCCCCTTTTTTTCATTTTTCTCCGGTCCAAAATTTTAATATGATTCAAACCGTGAGTTTTGTGATCTGTTGCACCCCTAATAGATTTGCATTTCCAAATAGGAAATACTAGTGCTTTGCAAGGCAGCAGAAGAGTAAGATTTTAAGCTTAGGTGTCAGGCTTTCGATCTGAGTATATGAATGCTGAATTAGAGCTGCTCTTCACACTCATCAGTGTACGAGAACCAATTCTATTAAAAAGGACAGTTCTATTAAAAAAAACCTAATGATGGTTAAATAATCACAATCAGGGACTTTTTTATTTATGTGTTTTATTCATTTAATGCATCATTGATTTTAATTTTGAAATGTGGGCATTGCACTCTAAAGCTTGCAAGCTTGCAGGGCAGTGTTTAACCTGACTAAGTGATTGTGGAGACATCCTGGATACATCACGGATACATCACCTGTACCCAATCACAGTTCACTCTACATATATGCAATCGTTGCTGTCAGTTAGATTTTGAATGGCCAGCATGCATTTAATGTAGGTAAACAGGAGATTTTAACATTTAAATTCCTACATAATACATAATTATCAATTAATTTAATTATTTTATTATTAAATAACATGATTACAAATAATTTAATGTAGTGTTTTTAAAGTTTAATACTTAGTGTTACAAGTTTAGAAAAAAGTAATATCCATAACACTGTTATAATCATGTGTTTTTGGACACTTGGATTGATTCTTGGGACACTGCAAATCAAATACCATAAATCTACTGTCCTTGTGTTGTCAGCATTGATACACCAGGTGTGATCAGCAGAGTTTCCCAGCTCTTCAAAGGTCATCCAGACTTAATCATGGGCTTCAACACCTTCCTGCCTCCTGGCTACAAGATTGAGGTTCAGACCAATGATCTGGTTAATGTGACCACTCCTGGCCAGATCCACCACATAACCCCGCATGGGATCTCAGTCCAGAACCTCCCCATAACCCAGCCAGCACAGCACCAGACCCAACCAGCAGCTCCCACCAGCACTGCTGCCGTGGTCATCCCTAGCCAGCCAACCCCTGCCAAGATCAGCAAGGTAAAACTGAATTATTTTACCTTCTGTACAGATTTGGGTTGTATATTTGCAAAGTTGTCTAAATAAGTTTTATGTTCCGCAGCCAATGCAGTCTCCTGCACTTACCCCAACGAGCCAGCCTAATCCGTCCATTCCCTCGTACGCCTCCCCGCGCTCGCCCTCGGCCCAGTCCCACACTCCCATCAGTAGCAGCACTGCCGGTTCAACCCCTCTACAGAATAACCAGCCTGTAGAGTTCAACCATGCTATCAGCTACGTGAACAAAATCAAGAACCGATTTCAGGGTCAGCCAGAGGTCTACAAATCCTTCTTGGAAATTTTGCACACATACCAGGTGAGAGCTGAGGCACTAAGGGCAATATCCATTTCAAAATGCTCTGTGCAACTGTGTAGTACAACCAACTTTTTTATTCAGCTAAGTACACTACTGTTCAAAAGTTTGCGCTCAGTAAGATTGTTCTCCTTTTTGTGAAAGAAATTAATATTTCAGTTTAGCAAGGATGCATTAAATTGATCGAAAATGACAGTAAAGACATTTATAATGTTAGAAAAGATTTCTATTTCAAATATATGCTGTTCTCTTTTCTATTCACGAACCCAAAGAACCCTGAAAAAACTGTATCTCAGTTTCTACACAAATTTTAAGCAAGCATGACTAACCCTAACATTGGTTATAATAAGACTTTTTTTTAGCAGCAATGATTTGTGAAGGAACATGTGACACTAGCTATGTGACAGTCACATTACTTTTTTTTGATGCGCATCGAGGAAATTATTAGGTCCGTCGTAGTTTTTCTTATCGTATACATTTTTCTTTTTTAGATTTTGAATTTTTTTATTTTTAGAATTTATGTGCATCTGGGCATTTCCATCCAGCTTTTTTTTTTTTCGTGATATCCCAAAATGCGTATAAAATAGGTGGATGGAATCATAGCTACTGAAGACTTGAGTAATGGCTGCTGAAAGTTCATCATCTGAAAGTTGCCACCACGGGAATAAATTGCATTTTAAAATGTATTAAAATTATTTGTAATAATAATATTTTACAATATTACTTGTTTTACTGTATTTTTGAGCAAATAAATGATCAAAAATACAGCATAAAAGACATGATACAAAAATGAGCCTAAGAGACTTCTTACAAAAACAATAAAAAGTCTTACCGAGCCCAAACTTTTTAACAGTAATGTATATTTACAGCCCTTCATGCTTACTGTAAACTTTCTGTTCTGTGTGTTGTATAGAAGGAGCAGCGTAATGCTAAGGAGGCAGGAGGAAACTACACACCCACTCTCACGGAGCAGCAGGTGTATGCTCAGGTGGCCCAGCTCTTCAAGAACCAGGAGGACCTCCTTTCAGAATTCGGCCAGTTCCTGCCAGATGCTAACAGTTCAGCGGTAGGTATTATGAAAACTAAAAATCATGGAGCTCATTTAGCTTATTATTCATAAGCCTTTTTTTCTCTTCTCCTCAGTTATTGAGTAAGACTACAGCCGAGAAGGCTGAATCTGTGCGTATTGATCGTGGAGGGACGGTAAAGAGACCCCAGCCTAACCATAAGCAGAGTTTTAACCAGAATGGTTGTCAGATCCGCAGACACGCGGGGCCGCCCACTACACCCCCTGTTAAGGTGACTGAGTAAAACTTTACATTATTGTACTTAATGGCTGTTCTTTTACACTGTTCTTTTATACATATCAACCAATATTCATGTTCTTTATTTTTTTACTCCTAAACAGAAAAAGCAAAAGTTTATGGCAAAAGAATCGATGGCTGAAGCCAGCAAACTTGGAATTGGTGCTGAATCTCTCTTTTTTGAAAAGGTGATTGCTTTTAATATAGTCTTGCACTGATTACAATGGAATACAAATATAACGGCAGCATTATGTTGGTACAGTAAATATTACAAGGATTACAGTGAGTTATGTGGCTTAAATGCTCCGCTCTCTTTTTAGGTGCGGAAAGCACTGCGGAGTTCAGAGGCTTATGACAATTTCTTACGCTGTTTGGTCATCTTCAACCAAGAAGTGATCTCACGGGCTGAACTTGTGCAGTTGGTCTTGCCATTTTTGGGGTGAGTGGAATTCATATTAATTTCATCTGTGAGACACTTGCAGACTAATTTTATGTAGCCATTGTTTAATTTGATTATATATAATTATAACTTAAAAACCAATAAGATTATTCGTTACACATTATTACATGTTAAAATTGTAATAAATATTATGACCTTTTTCTAACATTTTTGCTTTTTTTGGTTATCAGGAAATTCCCGGAGCTTTTTACATGGTTCAAGAACTTCCTCGGCTACAGAGAGTGTTCCCATATTGAGAGCTTTCCCAAAGAGCGAGCCACTGAAGGCATTGCAATGGAAATTGATTATGCGTCCTGCAAGAGATTGGGCTCCAGTTATAGGGCCCTTCCCAAGAGCTTCCAGCAGCCTAGATGTACAGGCAGGACTCCACTGTGCAAAGAGGTGAGTACACCATTCAATGGTGGTGTGTTTGTAAATACAATTTCAACTTGTATGTACAAACATCACACCACAAAAGGGTTTTGTTTCTGAATTCAAGGCTAACTCGGCACTTATAAATCTATTTGGAGGAAAATATCAGATAGCATGTAGTTATGTAGGGGGGTGTCTATATACCAGTATTTATGATAATCTTGATATTTAAAAATTAAAGAAGTTAGCTTGCCATTGTGGGTGGTTTTTTTGTAGTCTGCAGGAAGTGCTGATCAACAGTTAGTTCTTTTTGTATGATTTTGTTCAGTTATGGTTAGAAACTCTGCCTCCCTACACTCGTATTTTCAGTGTGAAGTCATTGGCCAAATTATTATTAATATATATATATTTTTTTATATATATAGATATAATAATATCGCAAATTCTTCTAAACACGATAATTGTGTATTCAAATTGTGATATTGTGACAGCGCTATGCTAATGTTGAATACTTCTCAGGTGTTGAATGATACATGGGTGTCATTTCCATCCTGGTCTGAGGACTCAACCTTTGTCAGCTCCAAAAAGACCCAGTATGAAGAGCACATATATAGATGTGAAGATGAGCGCTTTGAGGTAAGAAATAAAACAAAGCTTCACTGTCATAGAAATCGGTGTAATTGGATATTCAGTTCGGTGCTTAATCAAACATGTCATGTGTCATGCAGCTTGATGTGGTTCTGGAGACAAACCTCGCCACTATCCGTGTTCTGGAGTCTGTTCAAAAGAGGCTCTCGCGCATGTCTGCTGAGGAACAAGCCAAGTTCCGACTGGACAACACCATTGGAGGCTCCTCTGAGGTCATCCACCGTAAAGCTATTCAGAGGATATATGGTGACAAAGCTCCAGACATCATAGATGGGCTCAAGACCAACCCTGCTGTCTCTGTACCTATTGTACTCAAAAGGTCAGCATAAATGTTATTGTCTGACTTCTTCCCAGCAAATTCCTGAAAACGATAAAAATGTCATACATTGTTGCATGAAAAAGGAAAGGATTTGGTTTAAAGGACAAATTCGGTATTTTACACTTAAAGCCCTGTTTTAAGATCGTTTCTGATGAAAAAGAATGGTTAAGATTTCAATTTGGACACATGCTGCTGGCCCGAGAATTTTCGGTTTCTGTGGTTGCTACCCCCCCCCCTCTCCTCCACAATGGTTGCATAGGTGCACTGGAACATTCCTTCATAAAACGCATTAAACTCTAGTTTACAAAGACGTGAAACTCACCGAGTGGTCAGGGGTGTTCACTGATATGCCCACACAAAAAGAGTTGGACAAAAACTACGATAAAACCTGTTGGAAAGCATCTTTTGCAGCGATTTTTGTGTGGGCATATCAGTGTAAAATACCGAGCTTGTCCTTTAAAAACATTTTATTTTAACATTTACTTTGGTAGTACCATAGTTTTCTTTTGAGTATAATGTTTACAGCATAGTACGTGAATGTGGTAATTATTCAATACCATATAGGGCTCCACAGTTTTTCAAATTAAGATCAAAATCTTGATTATTAAACCTCAGAGTGCTCCATGTTGACTTTATTTAAAACATTTCTTAGCTACCAGTTCTTCCTTGTGTTTAAACCAAACTAAAGACTAGAGTCTGCCTAGTTTTGCTTTGTGAAAGTGAAGAATTGACGACCAAAATGTATTGCTAGTGTGATAATATTAATAATCAATTATTTATATTACAGTAATATAATAAATATAAAGTTAGCTTGCTTGCTACAAAAATGACAGTGTGAGTACAAAGTAGACTGATCCAGACCCATCAATTGGATTTCATGATTGATTGATTGATTTCAAATTCAGGTAGGATGTGAATGCAAAGAACCATGTTTTTTCCACATTTTGATCAACTAAATTTCTAAATTATAAAAAAAAAAATACCCTTAAAGAGTAACTTTTATTGTTCCTGTTATTGGCAGCAAAACTTGTTCAACACACTATTGAATATGAGATCTGTTATTTCAATGTGATTATTACGGCTTTTGTTCTTTCTTTTTTTTATTTCTTTTTTTATATCCAAGCAGCAGAAATATGAGATGGTAAACGTTTATGTATCGCAATTGGAATTTTTTGTCAAATTGCACAAAAAAAGAACTTTAGCCTTAGTAGTACCGTAGTAATTTACCATGTTATTACTATCCTATAGCATCATTATGCACTTTTCTTTCAGACAGGGAGAGCTGTCTTATTCAGTTCTTTATATTTCAGGTTTTCCTCACAGAATTCCTTGTGTGTTTGTCTTCTCAGGCTGAAAATTAAAGAAGAAGAGTGGCGAGAGGCGCAGCGTGGCTTCAATAAGATCTGGAGAGAACAGAATGAGAAGTATTACCTGAAGTCTTTAGATCACCAAGGTATTAACTTCAAACAGAATGACACAAAGGTGTTTCGCTCCAAGACACTGCTCAATGAAATCGAGTCTCTTTATGATGAGGTAAGAAACATTCTAAATGTACATGCGCATCTTAATTGTTGTTAGGTTGCTTAAAAATGGCCTTTTCATCCACTTAGCGACAGGAGCAGGCTTCTGAAGACAATGCCGCCCCTCCATCAGGCCCTCACATGACCCTCATGTACGAGGACAGCCAGATCCTGGAAGACGCAGCTGCTCTCATCATCCACCATGTCAAGAGGCAGTCCGGCATCCACAAAGACGACAAGTATAAAATCAAACAGATCATCTACCATTTCATCCCCGACATGCTGTTCGCCCGGCGTGGTGAGCTTTCTGATGTGGAGGAGGAGGAAGAAGAGGAGACCGAACAAGATGAAGACGGGACTAAAAAGCACAATGGGACGACGTCAGCAAAGTCTAAGCTCCTCTTCAGCCATACAGCAGCTACCCAGCAGAAGCTGAGTAACTGTGATGATGCCTACAACCTCTTCTTTGTCAACAATAACTGGTACATCTTCCTTCGGCTGCACCAGATCCTGTGCTCCCGACTGCTACGGATCTACGGGCAGGCGGAAAAACAGATCGAGGAAGACTCCAGAGAGAGGGAGTGGGAAAGGAACGTACTGGGATTGAAAAGAGAGAAGAACGACAGCCCGGCCATCCAGCTGCGTTTGAAAGAACCCAGTAAGTTTCAGATGACAGAGCAGAACACAACTGTTCATTTTGCAAAATGAATTTATTCCCCTTTTCACTAAATTTTCACACTGGTTTCGTGTAAGGTTGAGAACTCGCCCTGAATTTGTGAAGACAGGAGGATGTTTTATCACCAGTCTCTCTCAAGGGTCTTAACACATGTTAGAGCTAATGATATTTCTCTCAGATTTGCCTGCAACCCTCAGGGCCCTATCACCATGGAAACTACTTGAACGACTCACAGATTGGCTGTAATTTGTTTGTTGGTAATGCAGTTGCTTGACTTTGATCAAATAAAATTGTCTTGTTTGTTTTGCAGTGGACATCGATGTTGAAGACTACTACTCTGCCTTCTTAGAGATGGTGCGAAACCTTCTGGATGGCAACATGGAGACATCTCAATACGAGGACCAGCTGAGGGAAATGTTTACCATCCATGCCTACATTGCCTTCACCATGGACAAACTCGTCCAGAGTATAGTGAGACAGGTAGGGTTTTTTATTGTATTACTTGTATTATCATTGTTATTTTGGCTTTAGCTTTATAAGGTCTTCCTTTTAGGCCCCATTATACTCACAGCATACTCATATTTTCATCGCTGAGGGGTAAAAAGAAGTAACCTTTGCAGCGATATACGTAAGCAATAAGGTACGAGAGGCTGTGCTGTATCGTGAATAAGTAACGGCTGGAGGGCGTTGTTAGGCACGACGCGAAGCGGAGTGCCTGCAACCCCTTCAGCCGTTACTTATTCACGATACAGCACTTGCCTCGAGTACCTTATTGCTTTTATAAAACGGTTGCCACACAATAAAAATATTAAAGCCGAAAAATATGTATCTATGCAACTTTCATGAAGTAAAATCACTAAAAGCCTGCCTTCCGCTGGAAAAAATAGTCCCGGAACGTGAACAGCAACAGAAGTTACATATATTATTTCGCCAATAGATGGCGGCAAAGACTGTCTTTATGAGTGAGTGAGTGAGTGAGTCTGTAGAGAAGGCTTTTGAAAGGACTCGAACTTGTGATCACGGAGAAGACAGACGCAACTGACAGATGACTAACGTTATGCACGGAAAACCCCATTACTGTTAAAAGGACAAAATATGCAGCGGACATTCAAACGCATTTTTTTATTATGAATATAGGACTGGCCTGAAGGAAAATGCTACGTCTACTGTAAATGGAGGTACACTCGCTCACTCGATCTCTTACAATGCTCTGCTCTAGCTTTAAATGAACAATATCAATGAGATGAAACATCTGTTTAAGTTGCTAAGAGTGGTTGCTAGGGGTGTTGTGTAGTGATACATAGAACCGTTGGGTGAAGCGGTCATAGCCGTGTTTTATCGTGAATAAAGCACAGCTATTTGACCAATCAGAATCAAGGATTGGAACTAACCGTTTTATAATGTTAGTGATTATCCCGACGCCACCCACACCACTGGGAGCGGCGTTTAGATTAGGGATGAGCATTTTTCAAAAATATTGCATTCGAATATTCGGGCTCATATAAATCGAATATTCGAATATTCGTTTATTTAAATGACGTTTAACGAAAAAGATGTTATTTTTTAAGTTTAATTTTTTTTACGTTTTTGTCACCATTTCTGAACAAGTTTACGATTAGGCAATATACACAACAAGCTTACAAAAATGTTAAAGTTTTCTTTTAGTTGAAAATTTTAAACAGTAGGCCTATGTGTAAACAAAAAATTAAAAAAACAGAAGCATTAATATGGCATGCTCAAGCAGCGCGAACGGAAAAAAACGCCTAATAAAGCAGATGGCGCCAGATATCGTACAGAACGTACACACACACACTCGAGTCAGCATATGATTATCGTTTATATTGTTTGACGTTTATGTTGAGAAAAACAATAATATCCACATGCAGGGGCGCCGCCAGCAATTTATGCTTGAGTGAGAAAAGGCGCTTCGCTGACAGACGTTTCAGAGACACAAAGATATCGGTGTTCTTAAGTTTCTAACATCACTTTGCATTTTCTGTTCTTAAACCGGTCTCCCTCAACGAATCTTAAAAGAAGTATGTGTCTCAAAATCATTTTGCTATTAGATAAGTTATCATCTCGGATCACGCGGGGTCCAGCTGCGCTTACCTGCAGTCGTGAATGCAGTGTTGGTCAGCTGCCTTTCCTCATTCGACTGTTTGGATTTCATTTCTCATTGTGGTGATGATATTATAACTCAAATTAATTAATTAATTTGATCAAAAGTAATTCCATTTTGTAAGATCATTTAGTAAGATAGTAAGTAATTCCAAACTTCGCGAGGCAGACGACAACATTATGTGATCAAATACACACAACTTGTTAACACACTCCACAGCGCCACCCAGTGCATTTAATTATAACTGCGAGCTAGTGCTTGGGATTTATCATGGATTCACTGCATTTACGGCCAGCAAAGCAACGTAGTAAAATTCGAATAGTATTTTATTTTTCGAATAATAATTACAGATCAAATATTCGAAAATTCGAATATTCGTGCACACCCCTAGTTTAGATGTATATGTAAATATGTGCTTTCCTCTCAATAACAAAATAAACTCACCACAAAAATGACAGCAGTGTAAAAATCTGATCATAGCGATGTGGATGTTTGCACAAGCTCTGCAATGACCTCGACGGACTGAACAGAAGAAATGAACCAGAGGAGATGTCCACGTCAAAGAAAGCAGAGCCTCAGAGCAGTGGTGGTTCGTGTCTGTTTATCAGTCGGAGCAAACTTTTCCGGAAACTTTGCTTTGGCAGGCTGAGCTCTAAAACACACTCCAAAAGGAACTTGGTTTCACACCAGTTCGTTCTTCAATTTCACTTGAAAAGTGTATCCGTGAGCATTTTCATCTCAACTTATTACTTTCTCTTTCTTTTTCACTTTCCCACAGCTGCAGCATATAGTAAGCGATGAGATCTGTGTACAGGTGACTGATCTTTACCTTGGCGAGTGTACCAACAAAGCCACTGGTGGGTCCCTGTCCACACAAACATCCAGAGGCAGTGTTGAGACATCCTACCAGCGCAAAGCTGAGCAGCTGATGTCTGACGAGAACTGTTTTAAGGTTTGACTATCTCTCTACTTTACCTAGACACACTGTGTACTTATTTATTGCTTATGGAATTAGAGTGGTATGGATAAAATTACCACAGAAGATTTTCATTAAAGCCCAAAGTATACCATTTTTTTTTACCCATACACTAGGGTACGTGTGCAGTGCGTGTAACGAAAATATCGTTATCAACATGTAAGCGCATTGTGTACACATTAGGGATGAGTCGCGATCTTCGAATAGTCGAATAGTCGAACTGCGTTCGAAATTCGATCATAAAATTGCTTATTCGAATATCGTTATATTTTTGCGCAATTCCAATGTGACATAATTGACGGCGCGCCTATACTGTCACAGATCGCGCAGCAGGGTATTTTCCTGTCAGGGACACAAGGTGTCACTAACATGAATGAAACCCCCTCCTGCGCGATCTAGGATACCAGTGTTTTATACATAGTGTAAACAAACATCAGAAGAAGAGCATTGTCGTGACCGTTAACTCTGCGCCCAACAGAGTAGTAGACTAACCTTTACTGTCTATGGTAGTAACCGTCTATGGTAGTAACAAAGTAGGCTACATTTACTTCACTACGTTGGGCGACGTTCCTCTCGTTACTTTATTTTAATGCAATACATGTTGTTAAATGCGTAGTTTATTCCAAGCGCGCTGTCTTTTTTATGGGCATGAGCGATGCTCCATTCACAAATGAATCACTCTTTTGAGTCGATTCTGTTCAAAGACTTCATCAAACAAGTTGGCAGATCTGTCTAAATCGGTTCGCGAATCAGTTTGAATGATCTGTTCAGTTCCTCGCGCACTGAATCGTCTGAAGCGCTTTCAATTCACACTCGACACGGAGTCGTAGCAGGAAGATTTAAGAACATCAAGAGCGTTGGATGAAGTGGCCGTGGACCTACAGTTTAGTCTAGTGAAAGCAAATGCATCATATTTTTGCCAGCGATGAAGATCTAGTTGAACATCTTCGTATGATGTCTGTGAATGAATTAATCCACAGGACGATACATTCTAGTTCAGTTCATTCAGGTAATACATTTTACAACCAAACAGATTATTACTCGACGATAGCACTACAAGTATGATGACATTATCCGTTTTTTGGACATATACATTCATTTATAGGCTACATTAAATAAGCTACCATTGTCCACAGTTTATGAAATGAACCCCCGCCATCCCGCGGTAATGTGTGTGTATTATTGCGCAGTGGCATCACACGAATAGTTTTGATTGAAACTAATTTGTTTAAAAAGTAGGCTTTTGCAGTAACAAGGCAGGTTTGCATAAAATCATTATGACATTATTTTTTTTATCTAACGATTGGCGATGCAAAAACGGACTGTCGTGCTTATTGTTTTTTTCTATGTTAACTAAGTTACCGGTAGGCATATGTTAAAAAAAAAAACGACGAAAACATGTTAATTGTTCGAATAATAAACAGTTTGTTTGATGACAAATCGCTAAAGATGAAATTGGCCTCCCTTTCTGTCATTGTAAGTGTGCGTTTTTTTTCTTCTGTTTTTTTTTTTTACGATAATCGACTTTTGCTCCTCGATTTTTCGAATGTCATTTTTGGCAGAAATTCACATCCCTAGTACACATGCATTTCTTTTCTTACTAAATGTGTTCAGAATACAATATATACTATATAATAAATATACTACTTAATAAGCATACTCTGTATGTACAGCTCGCATACTGTATGCGCCTCGATTTTTTTCTTCTTCCAGTAATTAGTTTGTTCACAAGGTGGCAACAATAAACTTCTAGAGATGACAACAATAATACACATATGCGTTGAGAGTTCAAAGACATGTTTATTACTCATAACTTCTGGAGAGCAATAACGCAGGCACTGGACAAGGATGAAGCTTTCCAGTGTGAATCTGTCGTGTGCCTGTGTTCGCGCACCCGATCAAATAGGATATACTTTGAAAGGCTACACATTGGGTTTTACGCATACACTAAATGTTTGAGTCAAAAATAAAGTGTACTTTGGGCTTTTGTAGTTTTATGCAGTCACTTTTAAGAAAAGCAATTTACAAGAAGGGTGGAAGACAAGTGGTATCAGTAGTATATAGGGAAGATATTATGGTGTGTTTGTAGAAAGAAAGTGTTTTTGTTTTGTACTAGAATTGTATTGACAGTGACAAAGGTGAAGTCTCCGTAAAGGATGGTTGTATAGGAAATGCTGAAAAGGTCTTTCTGTTGGTTTTTCAAGCAAGCCAATTGACCATCCATCAAGCTATCGGTCAAAGATGCTTTATCGACTAAAATCACTGCTTTTTGTTTAAATGACCGCATCTCTCAAAGTCACTGTTATCTGCTGCCTCTTCACCTCTGCTTCATTTAACTACTTTTGTTTGACCACACTTTCGTTTGTGTATCAGGGCTCCAGACTGTGACCAAATGGTCACATTTTGCGATCTTTTTTCCTGCCGGTGCAACAGTTTTGCAACAGATCGCACTGGTGCCACCACCACGTTGCCTAACTGATAAGAGCGACCATTTGTTGCTTAGACCGTTTGAGCACAAGCTCAGAACAGGTACTTGCGGGCTGATCTTTGATCACCCGACACGTTCCTACACAGCTGGAAGATCCAGTGAGAAAACGTTTGAATTTACTGCTGCATTAATAACATCACAGCGAGATCTAGTGAGGAGCATTTCAATTTGGCACAGAATTCTGTTATAAACCATATCAGATCAAACAGCACTGACGTGGAAACCAGGAGAAACATTGTGCCATGAACGAACGAGTTATAAAAGGCTTTTTAATCCACAAATCGCCAACATTCTCCATGGATTAAAAATAAAACTTTGTGGCAAACACTTTTATTTTATATTTATTTAAACAAAAAAAAAACATGAAATTACCATTATAACTAGAAGATGCTGGCAGAGGAGCACTTTTTGGCTTCATAAAAGTCCAATTTTATCTGCATCTCAATTCATGCTCAGTGCTTTACTGTCAAATTTCCAATAAACAAACATGCAATATTATTAGTAACTTAACTTATACAATAGTAATTTTATCCATCAATTCCTACCATCTGTAGAACTTAGTCGCACTGGTGCTACTCCTCTCAAATGTTATCCTGGAGCCCTGTGTATATAGATATGCATCTATAAAGCTCATAATGTATTTTTTTCTCAACATTTTAGGTTAAAACTTATGTGAATGTATAAGAAAAACTGCATCTTAAAACTGGCTTTGAGTCTTTCAATAGTTTGTACAAAAAGAGTTTGTAAAAGTGCAAAGATTTCATATTGTCTCTCAATTTATGTGAGATCACATAGGCTGCATATATAATTATTATAGTCAGCTACACATACTTTATATTTATATGTATATATATATGTATTACAGTTACTGTTCCAGAAGTCTAAGGGGACTGTGCAGCTGGCTGTGGAGTTGTTGGACACAGAGGAAGAGAACTCGGATGGACCTGTGGATACTGAGGTACATGCCTAAGATTTGGCCATCGCTCACAGCGGCGAAAAGTTGCTTCACAGCAAAAGTTGTCCCTGATGCATGTTTTTATAAAAACCAACAATTAAAGAATAAAAAATATAGCACAACGAAATGCAAGAACACATCACGTTCTGAAAGGTTCTTTAGGCTAAGACTATTAGAGGTGAGACACCAATAGTTTTGACAAACAAAATGTGCTATTTCAAGTTTTTAAAGCACAAGATCTGAAAACTGCTTTAAAATCATGGGGGCATGGACCACATAATGTGACGTCAAAGTGAGTGTTGCAATGCACAGACCAGTCATGATAACTTGCTACCAATGTAGTTGTCAGTAAACTTGGTACTTGTGCTATTCCTTAAATTCTGTGCTGTGCAATAGGCCTTCAGATGACTCGTCTCCTGAAGGCTGAGATCCATCTTTCAGAGGAACAGATTTCGCCATTTCTGCTGCATCGCTGTTTCCAACAACATCTGGTACATCTGTGCCGCCTGCTGCTGCATGAGGTGTTGAGGGGAAACAAGTAAAAAAAAAATGGTGCCATGTCCTTCTTGCTCTTTCCTGTTGCACCTCAGAAGAGAGGTGACAATGGATATGAACCAGATATTGGTTTCTGAACTGTACGAACAACTGGGGCAGTTTTCTGACACTGTCTAAATGGCTCTAATACCAGAAAGAAAGGACATGCCATGGCAAGATTTTGCTGTTATTTAGATGAGCCAGTTCTGCTCATCACTATGTCTGGCACAAATCATGGCCTACACAAAATGTCTGTCCGTCTTTAGTCTCCATATCATGAAATTGGACACTATGAGGAATGGACGGATCCCTGCAAGACCTCTTCATGTTTTACAGATTATTGCGGTTGATAAATGAATGTTCCAGAGCTGTACTTCATCCAACATCTGAAAAAATTAACCCACAAAGGTGACTAAAAAAATTTGCCCTGGCAGATTCTTATTTGTGCTTGGGATTTGAGAGGAGACGTCTTTTTCAGCACAGACCATTTGAGTTGTTACTTCGTTACAGCCCTTGTGGATGAAAAATTGTTGGTCACTGACTACAAGCTTTTTGTTGGCAACTCTTACACCAGCCTCTCACTCTTCAGGGAGTTCCTTCATAAATTCATTCGGGCTTGTGGCAATGTTCGGGATGCAGGATAAGTTTGTCCCGAACACCTGAACATGCTGCAAAGGAACTTTCTCTGCGGCAGTATCCACTGGATCAGAAACAACAAGGTGCTGCTTGATGAATGGTGGGAACTACTGATCCTTCCATAGAGCCTACAGAGATTGTAGGGATGGTGACAGAGAGTGGACCCTAATGAATTGGATGCTGTGAAGTTTTACATGAAATCAGGCAGTGGTGTTGAACTGTTTTGGCCTTCAGCAGATTGCCAACATGAATGACCCACACAGTATTCAAGGGGACACTCATTGTGGCCCTTGCAGAAATAGGTTGTCAAAGTACATCTACTTCTGCATCAGGTCCCACAGTTCCTCCAGGACTTTTCTATATTCTGAAGCGCGTGTGTGTGTGTGTGTGTGTGTGTGAGTGAGAAACTAACTATATTTTGAGGACACATTTGTACCCAGAAGTGACCAAAACTTGACAAAATCTCCAAAAACCTCCCGTCCTCATTTGTAAATCTGGTATATAACGTTTTTTTTTTTTTTTTTTTTTTATGTTAAAATGCAGAAAGTTTTCTCTGATGGGTAGGTTTAGGGGTAGGGTTAGTGTAAGGGGACCGTTTGTACAGTATAAAAACCATACGTTTATGGAATGTCCCCATTTAGATAGCTAAGTAAACGTGTGTGTGTGTGTGTGTGTTTGAGAGAGAGAGAAAGAGACAAAGAAGCACTGTATACTGTTTAATTCACTTGTACATAATGTAAAAAAAAACAGATTTATTGTTAAATTATATTGCAAAATAATTCAAATTGGTGGACTTTGTTAATAAAAAAATGTTGTTTCTGTTATTTATATTGTAACCACTTATTCAAATGTTTAGTTATTAAAGTGTTATAAATGTATGTAATGTGTACTTATTTAATGTTTTGGTTACACTATTTTAAAGTACTTACCTAAGATAGTACTAGTAATATAAGGTAACTACATGGGTTAGGTTTTAGGGTTAGTAGTACCTAGTTATTACCCAGTTATTGTAATAATTGCTACCAATGTTGTTGTTTTTTGTTTTTGTTTTTTTTAAATAATGTCACTAGATTTGATTTTAATTCAGTTCTTTTTACATTGGAAATGTCAGTTTTGGGTTTGTGCTCCAACAAAGAGAAAACAATTGAAGATGTGAAATACATGAAGTGTTTACATAATACACAAGGTTCATTCATAGAAATAAATAATGAAAAACAATACACAGAATTGTCACGCAGAGGGGATATCCTGCCGATTATGTATGTATTCAGCTATTAACAGTGACTCTTTATCCTGTAAGAGTAACCTTGAATGTCTGTGTGTGTGTTTCAGCGCTGGCCCGACTACGTGGAGCGATATCTGAACACCAGCTCGGCCTCTCCAGAACTGCGAGAGCACCTGTCCCAGAAGCCTGTGTTTCTACCCAGGTGAGGCTCAGCCAAGTACACCCATCTTTAGAGCCATGAGTCCTTTACACTTGCCCCCTTCCCATCAAGCATCAACTCAAGACAGGAACATCCCAGGAATGCTTACGGTAGTCTTGGGAAAATGTCTGGGAGTTACACTGTACAAGTGCTGCCTGTTTGTAATCGCCTGGCATTTTGTTTTGTTTTTTTCTACCCAAACACACATGAGCTCTCTGCCTGCTTGCATTCGCACTTTACTGAGAATTTATTTAATGAAAACTCATTGTTAGGTTGTTTATCTCTGCTCAGATGTGGCCACAATACAGTCATATTGGTTATTTTATGCTTATTTATGAATTGTAAGTATGGTGTGTTTGTGGGGAATGTGTGCAGAGGTGTCATCTAAAATTGTGTGCACCCTTTTTTATTTTAGGGCATAATAGCGGTTGAGCCTTTATAACACGTTTAATGAGGTGGAAAAATTCATTTTATTTTAATGTTTTTCATCTGAGAAAATGGAAGATGTTTTTAAATGCCTGCTCTTAACAGGGTTCGGTTGAGTCATCATTTTCTTTGGGAGAGACTGAAGACTGTGCATTTAGATAAGATGAGCCTGAGTGCTCTGTTCAGATCTGTACTTTTTTCCTTTGAATAGATTTTCATAATCTTTTTTAAAATAGCCCACTCTTGGGTTTCAGAAAACGTCTTTGCTTTCTCATATAAAGTGTGCTGTGGTCTGTTTGTGTAATTCTATTCACAGATATATTTCTGTATGTAACTTGATTTCATTCTTGTGTGTAAATGTTTTTATAGTCAAAGATTGGACTGAGTAGACCTTGTATGCTGAGATCTCAGAGATGATTCTCTCTCGAGTTCGATTGGGGTTGTCAGTTTACAAAGTAGTGCTGTGACTCGAAATTAAACTCACCATGGTCTGACACAAACACGGCTGTATTTCAGAGAGGGGCTTGTCAATAAAAATCTGGTCTGGATTTTATCCTCAAATGTGCGTGTATTTCTTTCCAACAGACGTTTGAGCTCTAGCATGGGAAGGATGATTGATTTGCTTGTTCTTTTTTGTTTTTATGCATGTTTTATGTGCAGTGCTGGAGAGATGCTCTTGATGTCTCCATCCAGATTCAGACAATCAATTTCTTTTATTTCTTTTTTTATTGATTCATTTCTTTTCTGTTTATGTGCAGTGTGAGGTTGTGTAGCTTACATTGCACCACTGTTTTTGCTAAGAAAAAAGTAATGCAACAAACATTTCTAGTGCATGGTCATGCAATGCATAATGCACAATGTCAACCCATATCCTGGCTATTTAACCTAATTCCCTACCTGGTTTCTTTTTTTGTGACGATTGGCTAGTTTCTTTAAGTGAAGTCCTGAATTCAAAATAAGAGTCATGGTTTCTATGCCCATTCACATCTGTAACCTTTGGTAAGTACACTTCTAATTTTAGTCTTTAATTGAAGCAAGGAAATTAACTGTCCGGTTTTTTGTTTTGTTTTTGTTTGTTTTTTTATTGATTTTTTTTATCCACCCAAAACCTTGATTTGGCACTTGATCAATATGAATTTGCCATGGATATGAGTTTTCAATGGAAATAATCGTATCTGTTGATATTTTATGATATCTATTAAGACCAAGGTGCACTGTAGACAGTTGCATTGGTGCATAATTTCTCTTTTAGATTAGGATCTTCCTCTCCTTAAGCTGTCAGATACTGAGCTTTAACATGTTTGATAGCATTTGTACTAAATTTAGGAAAGTTTCTTGAAAATGAAACAATGTGCCCTTTTCTTTTTTAAGGAATCTCAGGCGAATCCGGAAGTGCCAGAGAGGTCAAGAGGTGCAGATGAGAGAGGTCAAAGAAACGGCCAAGAAATCCTCTGAGGGTGGCGAGGACTCGAAGATGGAGTGCATGTTTAAGCTCAACTCCTACAAGATGGTGTACGTCTTTAAGTCGGAGGACTACATGTACCGACGCACTGCACAGCTGAGAGCGCATCAGGTATATAGATGATAGAGCAGTGCTTCTCAAACTTTTTTGACTTGAGGGCTTCCCAATGTCCAACACCATATTCAAAGGCCCCCTTATTGAATGAGAAATTTCCTCTGTAATTATCTTATAATATTAAAATGATTATTTGTATTAACAGAATCTGGGAGTGTTGATATTTTAAAGTGTAGTCCACCCAAAAATGACAATTCTTTCATCAAACCGGTATGACTTTCTTTCTTCTGTGGAGCATAAAAGCAGATGTTTTGAAGAATTATGGTAACCATACAGTTTTGGTTCCCATTGACTTAAAAATAACAATGAAAGTCAATGGGAACTGAAACTGTTTGGTTACCAACAGTCCTCAAAATATCTTTTCTAATCCACAGAAGAAGGTCTTACAGGTTTGGAACAACATGATGGGGGAAGTAAATTGTGACAAAATTATCATTTTTGGGTGGACTATCCCAATAAATTTTGTGATTCCAGAATGTTAACGATTCTAATTCTGTATGTTCTTATTGAGAGGAAAATATGATTTCAATTCACATCTTGTTTTTTTTTTCATATTTATTAGAAATGTAATTACAGTTAAGAATCAATGTGATAAAGGAATTTGTTTTGAGATGTTTTACAATGATTCGATTTCCGTTTATCTCAATGGTTTTCAGTCTCACCAGCGAGTAAGCACTCGTCTGCATCAGCGCTTTCAGGCGTGGCTGGACAGGTGGCGGAAAGAGCACGTGACCAGCGACATGGCAGCCGCCGCGCACAAGTGGCTGATGGGAGAGGGCCGGGAGGGGCTACTGCCCTGCAGAACGGTCTGTGAACCCAAGATCGTCCACTTCCAGAACATCAACAAATATAAAGTCACCTATGGCACTACATTGTAAAGCTCAAGTTTTCAAAACAGGGGGGGGGGGGGGGCTTTTACCTCCTTTTTATGTTGTTTTTATGATGACTGAAGTAGCACTGAAATTAAAATGGGACCGCCATTGAGTTCTTTGAAGATTGCTCACTTTCTTTTTTTATTTTTACCTTTTAAATTTTTTAGATTGGAGTCCCCCAGGACTTTATACCCAGTTGGTTATTGCCCTTTAATCATGAGGGCAAGAAAACACTTCTTAAAAATGCTGAAGCTCTTGTCAGACATTCGTTTGATTCTCACGACAATAAGAATCACTTTTGTCTTTTTGAGTGGCTTTTTGTGAAAAGGATGGTTTACAAATACAGGTCAAATCCATGCCCATTTGTATATCGTTTTTTATTTTTCATCTCCTCAAGGTGAATAGTAGTTTATTAGCAATCTTTTGTGGTTCACTTAAACCACACACATGTTCAAAAAATGAGAGAAAATGTCTGACGATGACATAAAATCTTGACTCTTGAATCTTGAGTTTTTTTAAAAAAGCCTCTGTGCTTGGGGCTACGCAGCTAAACCAGGAATGATGATGTGAATTTCCCTTGTCTATTGTTCGCAATATACATGAAATGTAATTAAGGTCTCTTTTCACTGGTTAATTACAGCACCATTAATGAAGGTATTACTGTTAGTTAATAGACATCCAAGATACCAGCCACAACGTGTCAATCAGGAACACCAGAATAAGTACAGTCACAAAAGCTCTTGTAATGTAAATACAATGTGTGTGTATATATATATATATGCCTGACTGTTTATATTCAGACAACCTTCACTGTTACGTAGTTCAGCTTTTAGGCTTCCTTATCCGCGTAGTGGAGGAGGCTAATGCTGGGATGTTTAAGAAAACACTTTGACTATTCTTACCAAAGGGAGTACTTGTGTTTTGTCTGGTCACTCTGTCTCCTCTCTTTATGTAGTCACAGAAATGTTCGTTTTGACATCTGTTGTTGCAGATGTTATATAAGATCATTTTTCATGATGCTATATTTGGCCCTTATCTGAACTTGTATTCAAATTTGTGATATCACTGCCTGTGTTCTGAGTAGAACTTAGAAACGATCCTGTTTGGTCCCATTTTGCCCTCTTATAACGAGAAGTCTGGAAATGTAACTTGGGGCACATTTGTGTGTGCTTTGAGGCTTTGGTTTATGCTGACAAATATGTAAAACATATTTAAAGAAGGCAATGATGGCATGTTTCTATGTTCTCATGTACAGCCCTTTTATATTATTACTTATTGTTTTAAAGATTGAAATAAAACAGAATTGTAGTAGATTACCCTGCCGTGTGTCTTGCTTCCTGGAACCGTAACGATCAATAATGCATGCTTGTTTTTTCACTGAATTACGTTCACATGCTCTGAATATGAGGATGCATAATTAATGTGCACTGAAACCACGGTGTTGTTTTTCCACACTGGCAGCAGAGGGAGCGTTGGGACCGTCTCCTGGGGCACAGTGTAATAATGTTCTACACTGAAATGTGACTTTAGAGTTAACTTAAAACATTACTCGAACTCTCATTATAACAGGAGTTCTCATGTTAATTCTTTACAGTTGTTATTAGGAAATGCAATTAAGACTTTATTAATAATCTGTTATGTTTTTTTAATACTTAGTAAAAATTTATAAAATTTAGCTTTTTTTTTTTAAACGAGAATCAAAGATCTTTTCTTGACCCAAAAAAAGGGGGGAGGGGAAATTTTAACACCAAATAGAGTAATAAAAGTTTACAGTGAAATTTAACAAAACAATTAATAAAAAGGTGCTGGTTCGATATGCCTCATTATTCAATAAAGATTTTACCCTGCATTATAGTTAAGCAGTCTCTGGAGAAATTGGTCAAAAAAAACTCTACAAGTCCATAACTCTCAGAGCATGAAATGAAAACGTTTTTAATGACAGATGGAGAGTAGGATTCCAACACTTTCTTTTGACCCTTGATTCTTTTACAAACCATTAGCCACATGTTTGTTGTTTGCATTTGCTAATGTCTTATATTAATGAGCTTTCATATTTTGGAAGAAATGTATTACGTGTGTGTGTATACCTGGTATTCCCTACACTCATTTATATGCATTTAAATAAAAAACTTAACCCAACGGTTGGGTTTGTCCATATTTGACCCAAATTTGAGTTGAAACAACCCAGCATTTTTTAGAGTGTATGTTATGGGAACCAAATGTTCCCCACAACGATAGTAATGCCAGTAAATTTTGACCATATGGGGACTTTTTTTGGGGGTCCCCATGAGGGAACACAGCATACATCATAATTAAGTCTTGAATATCTAAAAATGCAGAATATTTCTGTGATGGGTTAGGGTTAGTGTAAGGGGACAGTTTGTACAGTATAAAAACCATTATGTCTATGGAATGTCCCAATAAAGAGACAGAGAGAGAGAGAGAGAGTGTGTGTGTGTGTGTGCATGCGTCTCTGTGTCAAATCCTGAAGACTCAAATAATTCCCGCTGATCAGAGGACTAAATTACATTTTAAAATATTTTACAATAAAACAGTTACATGAAAAAAAATGCAATCACATCATTAACAAGTACATGTCTTTATTATTTCATGCACGGTCAGTGACTGAAAAAGAAAGTAAAGTAAATTAAGTTCTTGAGACGTGGCTGCAATGAACCATCGTAACTGTGCTAAGAATGTTTTATCAGATATAACCATGAATATAATAACGGTAACACTTTACAATAAGGTTAATTTATTAAACATTAGTTAATGTATTAACTAACATGAATAACCATGAGCAATACATTTGTTACTGTTTTTGTTCATCTTTGTTAACGTTAGTTAATACAAATCCAGCTGTTCACTGTTTGTTCATGTTAGTTCACAGTGCATTAACTAATGTTAACAATATTTTAATAATGTATTAGTAAATGTTGAAATTAACATTAACAAAGATGAATAAATGCTGAAGAAGTATTGTTCATTCTAAGTTAATGTTAACTAATGTAGTTAACTAATGAACCTTATTGTAAAGTGTTACCATAATAACTAACACCAGGATCACTCAATTCCCCAACTGTCCGGCCCTCCCCAAGGGTCCTGTAGCCCACCTTAAATCTTAGACCTCGCGCCAGGCCTGACTAACACTGTACATATAGGCTATAATTAATAAGAAACATTATAAAAATGAATCTAATTATTAATGCACACAAATGGTATCCAACTTAGAACAGAAGAAAGTATCAACTAACAAACCACAGTGCAAGTTAATCATGAACAAAATGTTACTCCTTCAAAGCTGCAAGTGCCGGAATATCCCTCCATCCAGTTCATCTCGGTGCTCATTCCCGCACATAAATCCGTGTGCACACCACATCGTCGGCCCCAAAGGTCTGAGCAATGAAGACAAACAGAGAGAGAATGCCATGAACTCAATCATTCTTTCAGTGTTATTCACAGTTTATTTCGTTTACCATGATTCATTTGCAGTCATTAAGATGAAGGTACAGGAGCTGTTTTACGTTTAACTTTTGTATGTAGCTTGTTGAAATTGTGCATCACTGAAATGCTTTGACCGATGTATTGATCGAATTAAGAGGAAGTGCCTCTGACATCTCGATGCTGCCATTTACGAGTTTGAAAATCACACCAAAACAGAACTAGAGCAGCTGACAACACCATACACCATCTGCGCTCCAGAGCAGGACCACCTCACACACTCTTTTAAAAATGGTATTAGGACAGGCCATCTGGTGTGTGTGGCGGTGCCGTGGGAGACATTAGAGAGAGGAGTGTCAGGCCCCTACACACCGCCAGCATTCCTACATGTAACATGATCAATTAGACACATTTGCAAAGTATTTTCTGGGTCACTGCCAGTAACTTTGCTCCATGATGCCAGCATTTTGGTAATGTGTGGCCATTTTTACACAAAACACACACGCATTAATCATTAGGGTAAGGAAAAACAGATAAAGATGAAGAAAAGTTTAAGTGAGCCATTTATAATGAAGAGAGCTGCAATGCATAAGACAAATGGTTTATGAGAATAACACATTAATTTCAATAAACAAAAGCGCAAGTGCCATTGCGTATGCAACGGAACATTTTTAAAATAAGCTGCAGTTGGTCAAATACTTTGGCATGATTATTCAGCTCGTGACAAAACAGCTGGTCATGAATGGAAAGATATGCATCACTATCTTGCATTCAAAAGTCTGAAGGAATTGTGATGTGAGCCGGCTGCATCACCATTTCACTGCTCTGCCTAATAAGACACAGATGTGACTTCAACATGTCTTGTCTTGCATCATGTAATGCCACCAACTGTGTCAAGGTCCATTAGTGCATTAATGTAGACCAAAAATAAGACTGGATGCAAGTTGTGCTGTGTTAATGGTCCAGCGTATTTCCCTGTTGAGGTCATTTATTTAGCAATGACTTTCCATGAATAGGAGTACATAGGGCCTGAAATGGCCTCTTAAATCACTTTTACAACAAATGTGAAATACATTTCAGCATAAAATATAATGCAAGACAAAAGAATAAATGCATACATAAATAAATAAAATACTAAAAAGTAATATAAAACTATGCTGCAAATTTAGCTGTTACTCAGTACATTTTTTAGCACAACAGGGTGACTAGGAACATGAAATTGTCTAGCTATGACTTTCACATGACTACAAATATGAGGAAACACAAAGGCCAAATTCCCTTAATCATCCTTCACAATGAGTAAAACCAAAGAATATAGTTCTGATGTGCAGAAAAAGATTGATGAGCTTCACAAAATAGAAAGTGGCTGCAAGAAAATAGCTAAAGCATTGAAAATTCCCATTTTGACCATCAGGGCAATAATCAAGAAAAATCCTTCTCGCTCATCCAAAAACAAACTCCAGCATATTCAGTTGTCGGACACGACTGGAACTTCAAAAGGGCCCTGATTCTCTAGTCAGATGAAACTAAAAAAGAGCTTTTTTGGAAACCCAGAAGATGTGTATACAGTGCTTAGCATAAGTGAACACACCCATGCTAAAGTTGACTAAAAAGAGGAATAAAAAATCATCTTTTGGAAATTGATCTTAATGCCTTAATTAAAAAAATGAGGAAAACCCCAACCTTTAAGGACACCAATTTTCTTTGTGAATGAATAATGTATCGTAAATAAATAAATGTTCTTCCTTAAAATACAGGGTGCATAGCCTAAGTCAGGACACCCCTATGTTAAATTCCCATAGAGGCAGGCAGATTTTTATTTTTAAAGGATCCAGGACATCCTGATAAAGTTCCCTTGGCCGTTGAAATTTAAATAGCCCCACATCATCACATACCCTTCACCATACCTAGAGATTGGCATGGTTTTATTTCAGTTAGCCTAATAGCTGGTTTGATTTGCATTGAGATGATCTTATGGAAAGTAAGCCAAGGTGAAGGTTTCTATGGGAATTTAACATGGGTGTCCTGACTTATGCACCCTGTATTTTAAGGAAGAATATTTATTTATTTACCTTAGTTCAATTAGGACATCGAAGTAGCTTTTTTTAACCGGTCCGTGTCTTCGAAAAAACATTACTGGTGTGCATCTTGAGACCAAACGATGGAACTGACATATTTTAAGATGTTTCTTTCATGCATTTTAGTCTGGGACTCGGCTTAAGCCTTGTCTGTGATTATCACGAATAGTTCTCACAACAAAAATATGATGTTTGTGCTTCTAATGCTTTGAAAAAAGTATTGGCATACTAAAGTGTACTGCATTTTGCTGAAGAGGTTACTGAATAAAGCATAGTGAGCGAATCCAAAATTGGGCCTCGGTCATCATAACTTGTGTTATATGGAACCCTTATGAACTTTTAAGTTTGGCCTACACATATCAAACTACTTATAAATAGCATGAACTTTATGTCATGGCATGACTTTTTTTTTTTTTCATCAGCAAAATTGCAGAAGATCCATGTGATCCAGAAATTAGTGTCACATGAGGTTAGCTGCTACTGTAGGTTGTGTCCTGCACAAGATACCTTTATTGAATGCTCATTTTCATGGCACATATTTTCAGTGACCCATGTAAAGAATGGTAAAAAATCATTTCACAGTGTTTCACCATCACAAGTCTTTCCGAAATGCGCTTTAAAGTTTACAACAGATACTTGAGCGAAAGAGGAAGGCATTTGATGTCCCTCAGGGGCAGCAAAGTCAGTAAAACCTCCTCAGTTATAAGGCCAGTTTACTGTTGTCCATCTGGCCTATAAAAGACAGAAGGCCAGATGTTTACCCAGTGTTGCATTTTTTTTTAATTCCAAGCAAATAAATGAATATGAGCAGTTTATCACGAGTGTTAGTAATCGCAAAGCAGATTGAAACATGCGACCTTCAGCTCAGAATGGAGGGTGCCAGACACAGAATGAGTGATTTTTAGTAGTGTTGAGGGAAAAGTTCCTCACCAGCATGAGTTCGTTCCCTCTCAGCTCCCGTGTCCAGTACGTTTTAGGGCCGTTACCATCCACAAGGGTTTGCCTGCAGGTCATCTTGTTCTCTGTCTCCCATGTGACCAGGCTCTGTGGACAATTACAGTCTAACGGTAGTCTTTTGAAGATGCACGTCTGTATCTACATCTACAGTAGGCCTACTCTGTGAAAAAAAATAGTTCTTTCCAGGGAAGAACATTCAAATTATTCTCAGAGGAATTCTTCTGTCCATTTGCATTTGAATTATGATCTCCATTGAATGTTAAAGCCTCTTAGGCCATTGATTTGAGGGAGTGAATCCTAAGTAATAGGCTGAGGAGAGACGCCCACCACAGCTATACATTTTACCCTTCTATATATCCTCTACATACATTCATCTGTATTACTCACCCTCTCTGCTTAACTAAAATCTTGGATGACTAAATATACAGGTTTTATTTCATGTTTATTTTATTATGCCAGATGGCCTCTGCCAAATATCTAAATAGAAAATGCCTGGGTGTCGATTTATGTCAAAAACAGATGTTTATTTTGTGCCAGATCTGTGGTTACTTTTATTTGCCTGTTAAATGGCAGCAGTCATAAAGGTTAACTTGTTAAAAAGGACTTCCAGCACATGACAGCTCGGCCTGCAACCGCCGATTGCCCTTTCAGCAGCCTCTGATGGGTCGACAGGCTCAGAAGGAAAACTCAGTGCCCTCACGAAACACATCCTGTCATATCAGTGCTCATCAGTTCTTTAGTATGCACACATTATCTTATGCAGTTCTGGGTGTGATGGTGCAACCGCTTGAGTCAGAATCCCCTCAGATCCATTTAAATCCAGGAGATTAAAGGTGGAAGACATAAGGGTGACTGAAATTAGTCTAGATAAGCCTGCAGTGTTGCTTTGATGCGCTTGTGTGTCCTATAATCTAATTTACCAAACTATCTGTGACCTAAATAAGAGGTGAAAGAATTGTGTTTTGCTCTTTTGTTTTAAATAAATCTCTTATGTTCAGCAAGGCTGCATTTACTTGATGTATTCTATTTTAATATATTTTAAAATGTAATTTGTGGCTGTGATGTCAAAGCTGAATTTTCAGCATCATTACTCCAGTCTTCAGTGTCACACGATCCTTCAGAAATCATTCTAATATGCTGATTTGCTGCCCAAGAAACATTTGGGTAACACTTTACAATAAGGTTCATTAGTTAACATTAGTTTATGTGTTAAGATCTAACAATGAGCAATACATTTGTTACAGTATTTATTAATCTTTGTTAATGTTAGTTAATAAAAATGCAGTTGTTCATTGTTTGTTCATGTTAGTTCACGGTGCATTAATGTTAACAAATACAACCTTTGATTTTAATAACGTATTAGTAAATGTTGAAATGAATATAAACTAAGATTAATAAATGCTGAAGAAGTATTGTTAATTCTTAGTTTATGTTACTAATTAACCTTATTGTAAAATGTTACCATTTCTTGTTATATCATTGTTGAAAACAGATGTGCTGCTTAAACCATGATACATTTTTTCAGGACTCAGGATTTAATGAATAGAAATTTCAATTTCAAATATTTTGTGATATTATAAATGTCTATGCTGTCACATTTGTTCAATTTAATGTAGCTGAAAACAGTACTGACCCCAAACTTTTAAACAGTATTGTTTGTTATTCTTTTTAGGGTATAGTCAGCTGTCTGTACATAGTTCTTATGATTTGTCATCTCTCTATGCTCTTTTTCAAATGACAATATAAATATCGATCACAACAAAAGAAAACCCCTAAGCTGTATTACCTTGCACTTCCGCCCATCCACGGTCTCTTCGTTGAACTCTTGTCCTATCTGGAAATTGATTTCTGTGGTCCTCACGGTAGTGGAGGTTTTGATGTAGAACTGTTCTCCGTTCTGACGGATCTCCACGTGTGGTTTGGAAGCTGCTGCACAGGCCACCTTCCTCAGCATAGCGTTCACCCCTACATTACACAAAACATGTAATCATGTTTTGTGTACAAATGTGTCACTTTGCTTATGTAAATGTTTTCAGCTCTATGTCATTGAGACAGAGTGGATAAATGTCTCAAATTGAAAGTCTCCAATTAAAATGATTATTATACGCAATAAATAATCGAATAACTCCGTGAGCACTCATCACTCTCGACTGTGCTGTAATTATCCACTTTCATATAATTCCCTCAAGACGGTATACTTACATCATTTATTTGTATCTGCTGCAATAGATACTGGGGCAAAGGGAATATCTGATCTGCTTTCATGTTTTTTAATGTGTCTGATGTTCATTTTTCCAAGCCATAACTGGGGCAAAGCAAGCATTCATACAGCTGTGGTATGCCATTCTCTGCATAAATAGTTTGCAAGTGACCACAGAGTAAATTGTTATCAGCAGATGTTGGAAATAAGGAGTTGTAATGACAGGGTGTTGACTGGAAGGAATGCCACGGCTCTTGGTCTTGTATAGTGCCTACTTGGACAATGTTGAAATTAATCTAGGACTAATTGCACATTTTTGGACTACACAGGATTGTAGTGTAAACTATTAGGGTGAGTAACTGTTTGATCAGTTTCATAAATATTTCAATTCTCATTCCCCTCCATCCCAAAATTTCTCTCTTTATGTTTGGAAACAATTTAGAGGCTTTTCTGGAGAACTGGCATCAGTTTCACTCAGCATTACTTTATTTTTTGATTGGAAAATATGACATTTCTTGATTCTAATATGCACACATTTTTTTCATTAATACTTTTATTCAGCATTAAATTGATTCAAAGTTACAGTTAAGGCATTTAAAAGATTTCTACATTTTAAATACGCTGTCCTTTTGAACTTTCTTTTCATCAAATAATCATGAAAACCACAGTGTATCATGGTTTCCACAAAACTATTAAGCAGCACCAATGTTTTCAACATTGATAATAATAAGACATGTTTATTGAGCAAAATGATTTCTGAAGGATCATGTGGCACTGAAAACTGGACTAATGAAAATACAGCTTTGCCATCACAGGAATAAATTACATTTCAAAACATATTAAACCCAAAAACAGTTATTTAAAATTGTAATATTTTTTGTACATTATTAGTTTTAACTGTATTGTTAATCAAATAAATGCAGCCTCTGTGAACATTAAAAACGTCTTTCAAAAACATGGTAGTGTAAAGTAGTTGAATGGTAGTGTGAAGTTCTGAACAGACTTTGACCAAACCGTATTTGCAGGGGGCCTCGTAAAATGGTTATTGGTATTAAACTATTAGATTTAATTTAATTTTGAAGAAAAAAAAATCCACTGAGTGGGTTCATTTTCGTGCCCTTGCTAAATCTCTTGCTCTGTCTCTCTAGCTTTGAGAATTTGAATACGAATCCAGGCAACTCATGCTGCCAAAGAAACAAAAGAGACTGAAGAAGCAGTCCAACAGCCCGAAAATAATAGTGATTTACTCTTCACACTAGTTAATCCATGAATATGCTATTGAAGACGAAACAGCAGAAGAAGAGAGGATCCTGGACGCGGCCTAAACAACAGGATAAAATAGTCTAGTGCTCACCTACTACACACATATTGAAGGATAAACTGAGTGGATCACTTACCGAGCGCTTTCAGGAGTTCTTCAAAATGTTCACTGCTCTTCATCTTCCAGGTTCCAGCAAAATTAGGCATCTTGACCGGTTCCTTTTTATCAGTGTTACTTTAAAAACTTTTAAAAAACCTAATAGATTTAAATAGATCTCCAACCCTTTTTATTTTTTTCAGATCTAAGAACTTGTCAGTCTCTCCCCGTTTTCTTCTTCTCTTTCTCACACTGTCTCTTTTACTGTCTCTTTCTTTCTGTCTCTGTGTTACGCCTTCTGGACCACTGCTGATAGCAAGCATCTGTGACGTACGTCAGTGGTCCCTCCCTCCCGCCCAGATGGATGTAATGGCTTACAGGAGCCATTCTCTAGCGCTTCTCATTCATCTCACATCCTTGAATTCATTGCTTTAATACTATCCGAGCTGTCGCATTTATTCTCATAGAAAGCTCCTAAAGACTTTAAGTAGTCAGTTCACTCTTATAAAGTCTTTTAATCATTCTGCCAGTTCTGCAACTTTTGGATGAATATAAATGTAAGCAATAGGTTTCATTTTTTAAAAACCATTCCGAAGTGCTGAATATTAATTCTCTTTTAAACGACCTACAGCACATTTTAAAAACAACCCCCGAACATGTCCTCGACACATTTCCCATGAAGACCCATTCATCCCGGATCCTGCCTCCCAAGAGGAGAAGGACAGGAGCCCCAGGAGAGAAAGAGGGGCCCCAGGCTGAACTCCTCCCTCCCCTGCTCGACAGTCTGATTTGTTCCTGTCCCGATGTTGTTTCATTTATCTCATTTGACAAAGTGCCTTTGAGACAGCGGTTGATAATTAATGTAGAGAGAGGGCAGAGAGCACTCTGTCATTTCTCCAGGAAGTATCCAGGAGAAGGGACGGACCCATCCACTCGCTCGCACACCCTCATCAGCCACTGTTTGTCCCATCAATCAATTGATTTGGTATGGGCCTTTAGATTATGCTGTGTGTGAATGTATCTTTTCTCTCCTTTGTTTTTATAAGGCCCTGGTGAATGTGCCAATGTGTGGTCCATGAAAGAGACCACGCTATGCCAAGACCATGATGTGGAGGGCAATTGTTCCTCAAAAACCTGCAGAACGTTTAAAGTTTGCATTAACATACTGTATTGTATTGTGTCATGTTATTGCAGTAACAGTGGACTGTTGCTTTTAAGTACTTTTATTTCACTTATGGGTAACACTTTACAATAAGCTCTCATGAGTTCATGTAATAACTAATAATAAGCAATCTATTCTTACAGCATTCATTAATCATTAGTACTGTGTACTAAAATTTAAATTAATCATTTGATGCAATGCTCTTATTGTGTACATACATACATGTTTTACATTGAACTTAATTATACATTGTACTCAACTACTATAATTGCATTGTTAAGCCTTCCCTCACACCGGTCTGTAACCCACCCTTAAAACTAACCATACCTCCAAACCTGACCCTAACCTTACCCGTATCCGACCTCAATAGCAGCAACTGTTTTGCAATTCAATAAGTAGATTGTACCTAACATATTTTTTACATACCGGTAGTTAAAAACCTAATATAAAGTGTGACCAATACAACTTTTGATCTTTAAAATGTATTGGTAAATGCTGAGATTAACATTAACAAAGATTACTAAATGCTGTAGAAGTATTGTTCATTGTTAATGTTTTAATTAATGTTATCAAATGGAACTTTATTGTAAAGTATTCATCTTTCCTTTTGTCTTTTTATGAACACCTAGATTTTAAAAGCTTCCCATCAGGGCTCAGATGGACCTGGTTTGAGGTCATACCAGATCAAATAACAAATCACCAATCGACATTCACTAATGGAGAACATCCATCAACGTCCAGCTTAGCAAAAGAGACATGGCCTAGTGTGACAACACCCTGTCCACTGATGTCATAGATATAGAGACCCCCAGACTCATTAGGGTATCTATTATGCTCAGTCATTTTTCACTCAGAAACGTACCTAATGGAAGTCACTCCCAGTGGGACGGTATGCGTCAATGCCCTGGGCGTCTGAAGAGCAGTACATCAAACTCCAGTCCATCTGATCTTTGCTTGATCATTTATCTATGTTGACTAATCAGTGATTGAGTCTTTAGACCTCAGCTCGCAATCTTCCCATCTCCCATGCTTATCATTGAACGATTCTCTCAGCAGTATTCTTTCATTAATATTGATTTGGTAACACTTTAGAATAAGGTTTCATTTAGTATGCCCCTATTTTGCTTTTTTGGATATTACCTTCCATGTAGTATGTACTGAATGTAAAGGGTCTGCAAAATTTCAAAGATTAAAGTGCACAATAAATGGAGTTATTGGGTCTTATTTATAACATGTGCATACTTCAAACTTAGAGTTGTCACATGTCTGTCCTGTCTTGGTTATGCACTTGAGTGTTTTGTTATGTTGGGCCATGTGCTCTTGTTATTGTCTGGTCCCTCCCCCTTGTTATCTGATTATTGGTTTATTTGTCCCACCTGTTATCCTCGTTACCCACCTTATTTGCCTTCCTATTTAGTCTTCCTGTGTTTGCTGTCCTGTGCTCGTTCGTTGTATTTGTTACGTGTATTCGTCGTGTTGAGTTCTGTTCCTGCCCTGCCTTGTTTGTTCTGGATTAAGGTTGTACGTTGTAGTTTTCTTGTGTTTATTTTATGTTTTGGTCCTTATTAAATATTTCTTACTCTGCACTTGAATCCACGGATTTATTCCACACCACGCACCGTGACAGAACGAACGAGCCATTATGTGGATTCAGCGGAGCGAACTTTGTCCTGCAGAAAGGGAGAATGGGATTTCTCTTTTAAAATATTTCTCCCTGTGCGCTCAAAGGAATGAGGAGAGGAGGGCAGCAGAGTCTTCTCCACTGGCCTCTTCGGAAAGAAAATCATTGTCACTGGATCCGTCCAGTGTTGGTACTCCGTCGATGGTTTTAGCCAGCCCCGAGTCTGCGCATATCCGTCAGAAGGGACGGAGGAGGAGGAGGAGACCTGCGCCTGTCCATTCGGAGACTGTTCACGTCACGTCTGCCCAGCGAGAGACTGTTCACGTCACGTCTGCCCAGCGAGAGACTGTTCACGTCACGTCTGCCCAGCGAGAGACTGTTCACGTCACGTCTGCCCAGCGAGAGACTGTTCACGTCACGTCTGCCCAGCGAGAGACTGTTCACGTCACGTCTGCCCAGCGAGAGACTGTTCACGTCACGTCTGCCCAGCGAGAGACTGTTCACGTCACGTCTGCCCAGCGAGAGACTGTTCACGTCACGTCTGCCCAGCGAGAGACTGTTCACGTCACGTCTGCCCAGCGAGAGACTGTTCACGTCACGTCTGCCCAGCGAGAGACTGTTCACGTCCCGTCTGCCCAGTCAGAGACTGTTCACGTCCCGTCTGCCCAGTCAGAGACTGTTCACGTCCCGTCTGCCCAGTCAGAGACTGTTCACATTCCCTCTGCCCAGTCAGAGACTGTTCACGTTCCGTCTGCCCAGTCAGAGACTGTTCACGTTCCGTCTCCCTTCATGGACCTGGACTATCTGGAGCGTCTGGCTCGGATCCTGGACATGCCTGTGTCTGCTGTTCCAGAGCCGGAGGCAGAGCCAGTGCCCGTTCCAGAGGCAGAGCCAGTGCCCGTTCCAGAGCCGGAGGCAGAGCCAGTGCCCGTTCCAGAGCCGGAGGCAGAGCCAGTGCCCGTTCCAGAGCCGGAGGCAGAGCCAGTGCCCGTTCCAGAGCCGGAGGCAGAGCCAGTGCCCGTTCCAGAGCCGGAGGCAGAGCCAGTGCCCGTTCCAGAGCCGGAGGCAGAGCCAGTGCCCGTTCCAGAGCCGGAGGCAGAGCCAGTGCCCGTTCCAGAGCCGGAGGCAGAGCCAGTGCCCGTTCCAGAGCCGGAGGCAGAGCCAGTGCCCGTTCCAGAGCCGGAGGCAGAGCCAGTACCCGTTCCAGAGCCGGAGGCAGAGCCAGTACCCGTTCCAGAGCCGGAGGCAGAGCCAGTGCCATCTGCCTTCATGGACCTGGACTATCTGGAGCGTCTGGCTCGGATCCTGGACATGCCCGTGTCTCCTGTTCCCGAGCCGGAGCCAGTGTCTGCTGTTCCAGGGCCGGAGCCAGTGTCTGCTGTTCCAGGGCCGGAGCCAGTGTCTGCTGTTCCAGGGCCGGAGCCAGTGTCTGCTGTTCCAGGGCCGGAGCCAGTGTCTGCTGTTCCAGAGCCGGAGCCAGTGCCATTGCCCGTTCCAGAGCCGGAGGCAGAGCCAGTGCCCGTCCCAGAGCTGGAGCCAATGTCTGTTCCAGAGCCAGTGTTTGTTTCTGTGTTTGTGTCTGTTTTTGTGACTGTTACAGTTCTTGTGGCTGTTCCTGAGCCGGTGTCTGCTGTTCCTGAGCCGGTGTCTGCTGTTCCTGAGCCGGTGTCTGCTGTTCCTGAGCCGGTGTCTGCTGTTCCTGAGCCGGTGTCTGCTGTTCCTGAGCCGGTGTCTGCTTTTCCAGAGCCTGAGCCACCGCCCTGGCCGCCCGAGCCGTCTGCTCCGCCCTGGCCGCCCGAGCCCGAGGGGTCTGCTCCGCCCTGGCCTCCCGAGGGGTCTTCACCGCCCTGGCCTCCCGAGGGGTCTTCACCGCCCTGGCCTCCCGAGGGGTCTTCACCGCCCTGGCCTCCCGAGGGGTCTTCACCGCCCTGGCCTCCCGAGGGGTCTGCTCCGCCCTGGCCGCCCGAGGGGTCTGCTCCGCCCTGGCCGCCCGAGGGGTCTGCTCCGCCCTGGCCGCCCGAGGGGTCTGCTCCGCCCTGGCCTCCCGAGGGGTCTTCACCGCCCTGGCCTCCCGAGGGGTCTTCACCGCCCTGGCCTCCCGAGGGGTCTTCACCGCCCTGGCCTCCCGAGGGGTCTTCACCGCCCTGGCCGCCCGAGGGGTCTTCACCGCCCTGGCCGCCCGAGGGGTCTTCACCGCCCTGGCCGCCCGAGGGGTCTTCACCGCCCTGGCCGCCCGAGGGGTCTTCACCGCCCTGGCCGCCCGAGGGGTCTTCACCGCCCTGGCCGTCGATGGACTCTCTGTTTTGCCCTGGTCTGTCCGTCCCGCCCTGGTCTGTCCCTCCCTTCCCGCCCTGGTGTTACCTTC